CTCAAGTGCTCTCCATGCTCCTCCCGGGTTCTTGAATAAATCAAAATGTCATCAATGAACACTACAACAAACTTATCCAAGAACGACCGAAAGATTTTGTTCATGTAATCCATGAACACTGCAGGGGCGTTGGTCACACCGAACGACATCACAACATATTCATAGTGACCATACCTAGTCCTGAAAGCAATCTTCGGTATGTCACCCTCCTTCACCCTAATCTGGTGATAGCCTGACCTCAAGTCAATCTTAGAAAACACCGATGCTCCCCTCAGTTGATCCATTAAGTCATCTATCTGGGGAAGTGGATATTTGTTCTTAATGGTTAACTTATTCAACTGCCGGTAATCAACACACAGTCGACTACCTCCATCCTTCTTCTTCACCAACAACACCGAAGCACCCCACGGCGAAACACTCGGCCGCACCAACTGCTTTTCCAACAAGTCCTCTAACTGACCCTTCAGCTCAACCAATTCAGCAGGAGCCATCCTATAGGGAGCCACCGACACTGGCCCCGCACCTGGAACCAAGTCAATGCTGAACTCCATCTCCCTAACAGGAGGCAATCCAGGCACCTCATCAAGGAACACCTCAGCAAAATCCCGCACCACATCGATCTCTGCAATGACTCTCTTAGTCTCCACACTCATAGTAGCAAGTAGAAGGCAGCACTCTGCTCCATCCCTCAGCATTGATTCAGCTTGGACAGCTGAAATCAACAACTCATCCTCCTCCTGAGGAAAGATCAACCGCCTATTGGCACAATCTATAAGGATACGATTGGCAGATAACCAATCCATCCCTAAGATTATGTCAATATCTACCAAAGGTAAACAAATCAAGTTCACCTTATACTTCTTCCCATTTACAACAATGGGGCAGCCAGCACACAGCTCAGAAGAAACTACTGAAGTAGAAGCGGGCGTCGACACTAGCAGTCTCAACCCCAAGTCACAAATAGACACACCCAACATAGCAGCACAAGTATAGGAAATAAATGAATGGGAAGCCCTAGAGTCAAACAAAAAAATCACATCCTTACCAGCGACCTAGCCCTTCCCCTTCACAAGATCAGAAGAAGTCGAAGTCTCGGCACCTGTCAAAGCAAATACCCTACCAGCTGTAGTGGGTCTGTCACCCCTCTGAGTATCTGCTCTCTGCACACTACTCCTCCGAGTATCAGCTCTCTGCACATCACTTCTCTAAGTACCCCTCTCTGGTATGTTCATCAAACCGCCAGAAAGAGATTGCATTTTCTGGCCCACAAAACCAGCGTTTACAAAATATCCGCCACAAACGGTTTTTGGCGACCGTAGATCCGGCGGTTATTAATGACGCCGATAATGCAATTTGAGGCGGTTTCTAACCGCCAGAAACTACCAAAATAACTGTCACAAATCACACATTTTTTTTGTAGTGGCCATATATAATTGATATATATGCTATTTTATTAATGATTACTGTAAATATAAAGATTAAAAATTAAAGAAAAGATACATTTGTAATATTGATTAAAAAATTTAAACATATATTTTCCTTTCAAAAAAATATTTTTAATTTCTTATTTTTATAGCACTATTAAAAAAACTGGCATTTATTAACGAACAGAAAATTTCAAGCATTATAATTATCTTTGTTAGTATAATTTTTATCTAACATTTTGTGGGTTTAATTTGATATATTGTCATTTTAAATCTTTTGTATTGTCAATTAATTAGAAATAATTTGATATCAAGACTTTTAATTAGAAATACAAATTTCAACATTTTACAATTATATAATAATATATAATTAAATGAAAATATAAAAATATTTTTATTGTCATTATATTTCAATTAAATTAATTCATATTTTATATAAATAAAATTGTTTTTTAGTATGAGAGATTAATTACATATTCATTGTTATTTAATCGTCACGTATGATAAAATTATAAACATTTATATTAAATACTTTAAAAAATCATATTTAGAAATATAGTTTCTAGTTACTTGATAATGTAAATCTATTCTTGTAACAATGTACAAAAAAATAAACTTGGTATTTTGGGTGAATTTTTACGATTGTTAGAGAGTTAAAAACTAATGTCTCATGTAATAACGGTGTATAAATTAATGTCAAACTATTAGAATTATAATATTTTACATTATTAATATAGATTTATATGTATGTATTAATAACTTATTTTTTGTTAATAATTAATAATTAAAGACCACTCGAAACGATAACCCATTAATTAATAAATCACGTGTTTTTTTTATTAAGGGTAGACAAGATACCAAAGCCGTCTTATTTGTAACCCTAGATTCAAAATTTATTAGCTTGCTCTCTGAAAGTATTTGACTTTGTCTATTTTTCAATTTCAACTCTAGTCACCCCCTACCCTACGCCCACAATATTCAACACCCACAGCCGCAAACCGACAAAAATACAAATAATTCATTAATAAGACCGAAGAATCTTCGCAAACCAATGGTGCAACCGTGCAACCAAGTCCTCTATATAAGGAAAGGAACCTTAACTTAATTTCAGATATCATAAACAAATCAAACACTTCTCTCGTACATCTGCATGCTCTAACTAGATACATAGAAAGAGTACGTCCAAGAGAGAACTGTTCTTTTTTCCCAAAAAAACGAATTAAGATGGAGTTTGTGAAGAAGTGTAAGAAAGTATTGGGTAGCAAGAGATTGCACGCTGAAGAGAATGAAAGTGGTAAGTTGACAAACGAGGAAAAGCAACATTATGAGAAGAAGAATATGCATCGTGTGGCTCCAAAAGGTTGCATTTATGTATACGTTGGACCCAATAGCGAGAGATTCCTAATGAAGATAAAGATGGTAAACCACCCTTTGTTCAAGAAGCTTTTGGGTGAGAGTGAGAGAGAATATGAATATGATTCATATGAATATGGGTATAGAAACGATGGTCCCTTATGGATCCCTTGCGACGTTCTCTTATTCTCTGAGGCACTCAAGGTGATGGAGAGCACCACATGATCGATATATGCCTTCATTTTAACCTGAATTTGTTGTAGATATGTGAATTGGAGAAATTATTGACCACTATGGTTCCCGTTAATATTTCGATGTATTAATTACTTCTTGTAAAAATTGAAAATTTTAAATGTGTTATATAAGCATTGATTGAAACTATGATTTAGTGGTAATTTAGGATAATTTCTCATGTTACGAACTTACGATATTTTGACTTATGAGTTGACCGGTTGAGCTACTTGAAACAGATAGAAGGGGTCAAAAGCATTCTTGATGAATGGTGATATATAAAAAGAAAATGAGTGCTACATATATTAGAAACTTATTTGTTTTAGTGTGGTGAGCCCGCTATTAATGTTTGTTACCAATTCAGATAAGAGGATTTGGTTTGGATTGTTTTAAATTATAGCTGTATAGAATTGATTCTTTGGATAACAATTTTAAACTATTGGTATCGAGGATGTGCGTTCCAACATATATATAGCATGAAAAGTTCATTTATGTTATAAAATAAGAATGTAATTTCTCTGTTACAAATTATTTTTTAACAATAATTATTTTAAATAATTTATGCAAATAACTGTTGTAAAAATAACCAAACAAGCAATTATTTTAATTGATTTAAATAATTTAGTAAAATCCTTCTTTCAAAATTTATAGATTGAATATAATGGTAAAACTCTCTTTATAAGTTTTCTAATAAAATTTTGTAATTTTTTATACATATAATTTTCTCTCCCATTTAATAAAGTAACTCTATTTAAGGATGATAAAAACAAGACAAGTTAGGCATTATAATACAATTTATCTAGTCCATTTGACTAAATGATGGATTAGGATGAATTGACTCGTCGGTTCACCTATGTTATTATTATTATTATTTGTATTAACTTTTTTTTAATTTTAAATTTAAATAAGTTACATGAGATGTATTACATAAATAATTTGTAATTTGTTCTACAACAAATATGTTATACATTTGATTTATTTTATTATATCTAATTTAAGATTTTTGTTAAACTTGTTGAAAGAATTATTATAGTTACATATCTGATTTGTTATGTAGCAAATCAAACCAAATTTGCTATAATTTGATATTTATTTTATTATTCAGGTATATGAATTTATACAGATCTTTTAAATATTAAGAAATAAATATATTGAAATAAGTATTTAAAATAAATATGTAAAAAAAAATTTCTTTTTTTATTGATGGCCCACCAAATCACACACACAAGGTGAGTTAAGATATCCAACCTGTTTTCATTTGACGAGTTAGCTTATTTTAATCCATTTTTTACAAGTTAATGATGGGACAAGTCTAAATAATACAAATTGATCCATTTTATTATTCTTAACTCTATTTATTGACTCTACATCATAACATTATAAGAAAAAGTAAATTTATAACATAAATACAATATTTTTAAATTTAAACAATGTAAGAGAATAATATCTTTTCATATCTAAACAATACTCCTTTTGATATTTTATGTACAAAACAAATAGGTACATCTTTTATCTTAATTATAAGAAATAAATACTTTCTTTAAAATATATTACTTGTTAATTTTCTTTTATATTCTAATGCAAGTGAATACATTTATTAATTTATTAATAATACAAGTTATATTCATTAGTAAAAAAATTCATCTCTTAAATTATGTTTAGCATCATTTAATGTTACTATTATTTAAACTAATCAATTCAATAGATACTTTTAGAATAAATTTTAATTTTAAGATATTATTAATGAAAATTAACTATTTTAACTATTTTTATTAGTTTTGAGAAATAAATTATATATTTTTTATATATAAAAGATCAGACGAAGTATTTCATAAATTTAAAAATGAAAATTTTGAATTACTGTCTTAAATGGATATGGACTATATGACTACATAGAAATAATATTATTCTCAAAGTTGAAGCGAATTCTGATTGTGCTGGAAATCATCACATTAGATCTTGGTTTAAAAATGAAGGACTTCACTAATACATAATGATTGTTTTTAAAAGTGAAGGACTTCACTAACACAGGATGATAAACAAGGTTAATTTTTTTCAAAAAGAAATACTTGAAAATTCCTAAAAGGAAAAATACCTTTAAAAACTAAATATTGAAAATTGCAGAAAAAGGTTAGCATTTCTGTCGCCTAGCAGCATCCTCATCACCTAACAGGCATTTCGAGTATTCTTGTAATTATATTATAAAATTATTTTAATGTTAATGAACTTATTTTATTATTTTATTATAATTGATGAAATTATTAAATGTCTTATTGAATATTTATACCATTATTAGTAGTCGTATAACAGGCAAAATCTTTTATAATCAAATATAACCTTTATGGTTTATCTTTGATATAACATCTACCAGAAATTAACTAGGAAAGCCATCACAATGCGAAACAATCTTAACTTTCTAAGATTCATAATCTTAAAAATTAAAAAAATAAAAAATAAAAAGATTCATAATCTATTTCTAGCTATTAAAACAAATACATGCTGAGCAATATTGTTTAGAGCCAGGTTAATGAACCTATTCAGTATAATAAATAAAATTAAGGTCACTCAATAATAGAGAGAAACGGAATAAATCTAATACAAAATACAACCATGTTGAGAATACCTACCATGGAAAAGGGTCACAACTCAAACAACATATCCATTGAAGCCTATTATATTATCGAAAGAGATGGCTGTAACAAGAATCATGGTGAGAAAATCTAGCTGTGAAGTGAACCATATGCATCTAATTTCTGCACGGGCCTAAGATTATTTACCCAACTAAATTCTACAATCACACATCATCTTCTGCATCATCATCCCCAACATTTTCCGCTTCCTCCCCATCATCATCAGACATGCTATTAATTACATCTGTAATTATATCCTTCACCTCTGCTTTTCTATGCATCAAATCCAAGTCAAAGTGGGCACCTGCCAACATTTCAATACAAATGAGCTGAGTTCACCAAAATCATTTACCATCTTTTGGGGGGAGAATGTAGTGGAACAGTTCGTACCTAGTTGTCTGAGGATGTCAGATAAAGTTGCCTGCATCAAGGAATATACAAAAATAAAAAACCATACGATGTTAAAAAAGATACATGAAATGGCACAAAAACACAACTTGCCTTATTGAAATCTACTTCCTTCAAAATATCAACAACCACTTGATGCATCTCCTTCCTACTAGGTTCTGCTTTTGCTTTCTCACTACTTTTACCTTTGCCTGCCATTAACATAAGAATGGAATGGTAAGCAAAAAAAGGAGGAAACACAGGCATACTTGATAACAAAACTCAGTACTGTAAAATTGACAGATTTTGAGTAACTTGTCCAAACATAACACGGTTGAGTTTCCAGGCACAACTCGAGCAAAACTGATCGTATGAAAGAAAAATAATTTGAGTGACTAGCAAATCATGGCAACTGGCATTAGATTAAGTAGCACAAATGATATCATCAATAGCAATGAGAAAGACCCAACCTTGATCCTTAACTAAAGCCTTAGGAGACTTGTCAGTTTGCTTTTTGTTTGCAACCTTCCCTTTAGAGTTCTGGTCTTCCCTTGAAGTTTTCTGTTTCTTGGAAGCAGATTGCTTGGGCTTAATAGTATTGTCAGTAACAACCTTTTTTGAAGTAGATTTTTTAGCAGTTTTTTCATTGCTCTTGGCTTCCTTTACTGACGTGGTTTGATCATCTTTCAAAGTCTTTTTTGAAGTACGTTTTTGAGCCTTTTGATTATCTTCCTCGTTCTCTGACTTGCTTTCCTCATGATCACTTTCACTTTTTGGCACTGAAACATCATCTTCCTGAGAATCAACTTCTGCATCTGAAGGTTCAGATATATCATCATCTGAAACATCAGAAGACTGCTTTCGCTTTTTCCCAACTTGTGAAGTTTGCTTCTGCTTCTAAAGTCAAATGAGAAACATAAGTGATAAAACAGAAGAAAAATAAATTAACCCTGCCATAATTAATGCTTTTGCAGAATGAGATAATTTACATCCCAAAGGGGGAGAGAAAACTGAACCATGAAATTTTAGGAGCCACAAATGACAAAACACAGTAACTAATAATCTGAAAAAACAGCATTTTTTTTCTAGGAATATCGAACAATATCTTCTCAGTAAAAGATTCAAATATTATATTTAACCAAGGATTACTTTTAACTTTTACATTTACAAGGAACTTCAGAGGAAAAAATCAAAGGACAACCCAGGTGAAAACAGCTGGAACACCTTCCAGGCTGAGTTACAAAAAATAACTTCAAAACCAAATATATTAACAAGGATTATTTTTAACTTTTACATTTACAAGGAACACCAGGGGAAAATGTTAGGAACCAAGAATTAGGAAAGATAAAGAAAAGAAAGATTTTATTGAATATGTTGAAAAGAACAAAAAATAGGAGAGAAATATCTCCTCCAAGGGTTTCCCCTTCACAAAGGATTTCTCCTTTCACAAAGAGCTAATGCTCAATTTACAAATGTGAACAAATCTGAATCTTACCCTCTACCAAGTAACCTCCTATTTATAGATGTGATGGGCCTAGCCCATGATATCTTTCTAACTAATAACTATTCTAATTCCCTTTATTCTATATCCTAACAATACCACCCCCTTGAAAATCAACCTTGTCCTCAAGGTTGGAATCTGAAAACCAAAAAAAAATGACATCAAAACACGCTATAGTTGGGACTAAAGTGAAACAACACCCCAAAAAAACTACTTTTTCATAGGTTTGGGCAATTGGACCCACTTTGTAGAATTCCAAATCTACCCCTTCCTCTTTCTCATCCTCTAGAGCCAAATCACTTACTCTAGCAGAATGTGTCTCTTTGTTGTCTACCCATGATGGGTCAGCAACGACCCCTTTTGCCACTGCATACAAACCCGTGTCTGGCGGCTTCGGTGGTAGTGGAGATGAGGGTGGACTTCGTATAACTTGAATCACAATTGTTGCCTTCGTACTTTCCTTTTGCCTAGGCTCCATTATCCTATTGTCATCCATAGATGCAACGATGTTTAATGATGAAGGCTCGCCTAGAAAGTGGTCTTCCCCACCACATATAATGTTGTTCTTGATTATTGAAACTTCTTTATTTCTGTTTTCTAACTTCAAGAATTGCAACAGGTTACTGTTACACCTTAGACTGCTACCCTTCATGTTAATTCTCTGTTCTATGCTTCCATCAAAGGTGGCTAACTCCACTTGTTTTTCCCAAGAATGCACCAGGTCACCTCTGCAATCTGACTCACTGCCTTTGGTATTTTCTGCATGTTTCTTGAATCTGTCCAGAACTGGGTTGCTGGTGCCAATGTCTTCTGTCAAGTCCTATTTTTTGCAATAGGTGATCAAGATCCTCCTGCAACTTATCTTTTTTCCCCAAGTTTTGTTGTGCTCTCATTAATGAGTTTCTTGATCTCTGAAACCTCATTGAGTCTCTTCTTAATCTCAGATTTCTCGCCACCAAGATTCTTGATCTTCAAACTTTCTTTGTCCCTTTTCTTTTCTTGCTTCAAGAATCTTTTGATCAATGATGTCGAGAATGACTCCCAATCAGAATCTGGGTTCTTTTGGCTCCAAAAGTAGAACCACCTCATTGCTACTCCTTCCATGCTCATGAAAGCATATTGCAACTTATGGAAAGAATGAATTTCTTGCACTTCAAAGAATTCCTCAGCCTTAGCAATCCACCCCAATGGGTTTGTACCCACAAAGACTGGCAGCTACCCCTTGGCCCAAATATGTGCTTCCTCCATCTCTAGTAACACTGGCTCTCCCTCGAAGATTCGGCAGGTTGGACCAATTGTTAGGAACCAAGAATTAGGAAAGATAAAGAAAAGAAAGATTTTATTGAATATGTTGAAAAGAACAAAAAATAGGAGAGAAATATCTCCTCCAAGGGTTTCCCCTTCACAAAGGATTTCTCCTTTCACAAAGAGCTAATGCTCAATTTACAAATGTGAACAAATCTGAATCTTCCCCTCTACCAAGTAACCTCCTATTTATAGATGTGATGGGCCTAGCCCATGATATCTTTCTAACTAATAACTATTCTAATTCCCTTTATTCTATATCCTAACAGAATAGGTCAAAGGATGACTCAGGTGAAAACAGTTGGAACATCTTCTTGGCCAAATTACAAAACTTCAGAACCAAATTAACATTAACATTAACAGTAGACCTGTTAACATGCTAATATCTGAAAAATCTATATTTTAAGTTCATAACCACATGGTAATTTCACATCCAGTTCATAGGGATAGGATCACACAAACATTACTGAAATAATCATATTAAAACCTAATAAAAGATAAAGTCTAACACTAACATACCAATAGCAATTATTTGGAAATGATACTGAACCATCACCATAAATCAGATTACCACATGCTACATGAAAAATCAAACATTTGTTGCCATGGTTTGATGAAAGAGATTGCAAGCAAATGATAAAGTATAACATATATGCAGCAAGCCAGAATGAATTTCTAGTTTGACAACACACCTTGGCAGTTGTTTCTGATCCTTCCCCAGAAGATTTGCGTGGTTTTTCCTTTATGGCTCGCTTTTTACCTTTCTGTAACATAGAACCAAGCTTCAAAAAACTAGCACCAATAAAATAAGTTTAATTTAAACAGTATAGCTATACAAGTCAGGACTCAAAAAACCAGCTATTTTATTGATTCAAATGTTAAATTATAAATCATAACGAGATTGCATGTTAAATATTGCAAAATTTGGGCAAAATAAGCCTTCAATCATATGGTTAATTTTCTTGAATTCGGAAAGTCCATAATTTATTAATTTTAAGATATTTGGTTGAAGTAAACAATTTCAAAATGACATGAAAGTGTACTATCTGAGAGGTAAGCGTGGATAGACTGAGTCACAACTTGACTGAGTCACAACTTACCCCCAATATTAATTTATCCTTATCCTTATACAATGATATAAATAATAAAATGGAAAACCTTTTCCTTATTAGCAAGCAGAACATCAGTTGTAGCATGTGGGGACTCCAAAAATTCCAACAACTTTGCAGACAGTTCCTCCTGAAATGTCACATTAATAACATTTCTTCATAAATATAAAGTCGTTGATTCCATGCAAGGGTGGAAAAAATATCTGATCAACACATACCTTCTTCATACTGGCCTTATTTATTGGAATATTAAGCAAAGTGCAAAAGTCCACCAACTTTTCTTTCACACATTTGTCAAGTTTCTCCCTTATCTTCGCCCTTTGTTTTTCCTGCCAAGAATTATAAAACCATAGTATATGCAGGTTGATTACAGCCTCAGGCATTCAAACTTTTAAGACAACATGCACATTTAACAAAAATAAATAAATAAACTAAATATTAACACAAAATCCATTAAGATTCATTGCATAGTTACAAATAAAAGACGGGCAGTATTACAATATATAATGCAACTATACCTCATTTTCAGTCCACACATAGCCAGAAAACAGTCCTATATTTTTCTTTAGATTGTGTGCCTACACAAAAATCATGCCACTTACATTCAATAAACAGCAAGAATTAGAGTGTTCATCCACCCTAAATTAACAATAACAGGAAAAAAAATGATGAAACATGTAAAAAAAATAACACAAAACCATCCAAGGAACTAAGTTAGTCAGTCACCTTTCCTTTCCTCCCAAATAATATACTATGAAGTGTACGCAGGTTGTCATCAGTTTTTCTCTTTGATAACTTGAAAGCCACTGGAAAAAGTTTAAAAGAAAATAACATGACTAAAAACACTGCTTTAGAGAAACAAAACATTAAAGCTCTAAAGTGAACTATCAATTTGAAAATCTGCAAAGCTTAGTTTCAAACACCAAGGGAGTGAATCCAATAACAGAAAAGCAAAGCGCAATCCATCACTCTTCACAATTCACATGTTTAGAATAGTGTTTAAAGAAAAATTGCCAACAAAAACAGCCAGCACAGAACACCCAAACTTAGCAATGGACCAAACACCTGAAACACATTTCTTTGAAAATATGGAATATTATCTTCATAAAATTTGAAGACATGACTTTCCAGAGAAAAAATTTTCACTACCATCTAGCACTTTGAGGTCAAATCCAACAAGCAGATTATGTCAAAAGGCCACTACACTAATACTACATTGGATTTAATTTTCCATTTAAAAACATCTTCAATAAACAAGGAGAATATCCCTGATAGGTTGGAATACATTTACACATTACAAACTTCTGCGGAAATCAAAAGGCATGAAGTTTAACTTCAAAAACGAGACCAACAACGCAAGATACATCTGAGAATGAACCCTTGCACTTAAGCCTGTTCCTAGTGAAAATTGTTACTTCAAACATTACAACGAGTCCAGGCATAGTTTAATAACCCAAGTAATTCCTATCATAGTCACGCTATATCACTGGAACATTTTATTATTGTATTTTCCCCCTGAATATCAAGTTTTATGTTGCAAATTGATGTAAAATAGTGAGAATTCTAGCTCTTCTAGTTATCTTCACCCATTACCAACAGTGACCACTCTCCTGCCTGGCTTTCCTTAAGATGCTAAAACCACCTAGCATCTCTTCTTTAACCAGAAATATTCCATGAGAAAACTTTAGCATGTGAAACCCCAAACCTAATCCCACAACGCCTAGACAACCATTCACAATTACTTTATCTACTAATTCAAAGCGGTTTTTTTAATGGATCAACAATTCAAAACGGCATTGGAATCGCAAACAACAACATTAAGAGATAGAACAAGGCATCAATAAGATCACGAGATTTCTTCACAAATCCACGCAACAATAACAGGCCTTACCATTTGGAATGTCCTTGAGCTGCGTACCGCTTCCCTGAAATCCAAAGAGATTCACACGATCAAATCCAACACCAACACGTGTTTAATCAATTCGCCACAGCGGAGAAACAAAACAGAGAATCTCGGAAAATAAAACACGTGAATTATACTACATTAAACGAACCTTTTCAATTGAGAGAGCTTTGAAAGTAGAATATCCAGGAAACTTATCGGGCGAAGAAACAGTGTACCTCTCCACCGTTTTCCTCTCCCTAGTTGGTCTCTCACTGACTGGCGTGGTGAAACCGCTTTCTTTCGTTGACTTGTTTGACTTCACTTTGACACGGTCCTCGGTCTCTTCTTCTTCCTCTTCCTCTTCCTCTTCCTCTTCATTCTTCTCTTCTTCTGTCTGATCCATTTCTTCTTCGGCTTTGTTGTCTTGCTCGGTGTGGTTGTCTTGAGCCTGGGGTTCTTCTTCGGCGTGAGGCTTCTCGTTTTCTAGGGTTTCAGAAGACATGGTTGCGACTTGCGAGAGAGGGGGAAATGAATTGAGAAGAGAGGAGAGGAGGCTTAGTTATGAGAGTGATTGTGATTGGAAGAGAGAAAGAGAGGGAAACGTCAAATGAAAATGAAAATGGAGGGAACGAAACGAGATGAAGCGCGCTCATGACAAGTCTTTCAAATTTTATGCCAATTTTCTGAGCGCTTCCTTCACCATTTTTTACTCCGCTCCCGGCAAAATCTTAAAATTAACTATTAAAAAAAATTAAAGGTTATTATAAGAACAAATATTATTTTTAAATATCAAAGTAGTACTCTCTCTAAAATATTATATGTTTTTTTTATTTATAACAAGAATATTGGAATTAGTAAAATTTAGTGTACATAATTAATTTTTTTAATATGTAAAATCTATTTTTTTTACTTATAATAAAAAATAAAGATAGTATATTATAATTGCTTGTATGTGTGGATGTGTGAAAACAAAAAATGATTAAATAGATGATGTCATCCCAATATTGATTCATTTAGCGCGATGGTATATACATAGCATTCTCTAAATTATAATAGACTACGCAAAATAATATTGTTACCTTTAAAGGATAATGATCTTATGTTATAACATTTTCAGACATACTAACGTCGATAATCTTTAAAAGTCTTGTAACATTACTTTTACTCTTGATATCAATTCTCTTTGTAATATATGACATTTATTAAGACTTATAATCATGTAAATCAGTTAGTCTACTTTTTATATGCTCAATTACTTTGATATTAAAAAAAATTAATTTAATAAAAAATATATCTTCTAATAATTTTTTATTTTAAATAACTAATAAAAAATAAATTAAATAAATAAAAATCATAGTTAGGAAAGGAAAAAAAATGTCATGATAAACATGTTTTTTTTATCGATATAACTTAGACAAACAAATTATTTTGTTATATTACTTTTTTATTGTAAATATAGACAAACAAAAGATTTTTGTTATATTATTCTTCTTTTTAATTATTGTTATCTTATCTTTGATACATGTGTCCAAATACCCTTTTTGCAAGTCCAATATTTGCACAAACTTTGTTTAAATAGTCACATCCTTATACTCGTATGTATTCAAACTTTTAACAAAATGTTTTTATCATGTTATAATATTCTAAATATCTTTACATTAAATGAAAAGTAAGTTTTCTAATATCCAGATACAATCTTTAATCAAAAGTTATACATGTCTATATTAATGTCAAAATTAAGTAATAAAAAAAAGGAATTAATGCTAACGTTTTTTTTTAGTAAAAAATATACGGTATACAGTTGAGCAAACATTTTCTCTCGAGTGAGAAACAAATTTTTCATTGTCATAACATGAATATTTCCTCATGCATTTAATGAAAAAAGTCAAAACGAGAACAACAATACCAAAATTCATCAATGAATACTTCAAGATTTTAATATAAATTCAAGTCAAAAAAACAACCAAAGGAGAAGGCGAACTTAAAAGAAGTGTATTAGAATAAAATTTTAAAGGACTTTTTAAATTGAAAAAAGTTATGTGTGAATTTTATAGAATTTTTATGATTTTTAATACTTTAAAGAATTTTGTAAGACTTTAAATTATAATTTTAATAAATTTTGTAATAGTTTTAAGTTAATATTTAATGAATTATGTGAGATTTTGTGAGATTTGTAGAATTTCGTGGATTTTTTACATATGATAAGAGTTTAAGATTTTTTTTCATACATTTAAATTTAAAAAAAGTCAAAGACAAAAATAATATAAAAAAATAATAATGTATGAATAAATAATAATAATAATAATAATAATTCGTAATATATGTCCTCCTAAATAGCATTATTATTATTTCTACATTTAGATATTTAAACATTCAATTATTCAATTAAAAAAATGTTATATGGTGTAGACAAATATCTCAAACTTAACAATTAAATGTGCTAATTAACTATGGTAAAGACTTTTAATTTCATGATATTAATTTCAGCTTTCACCTTTTCTTTTTCTTGACACATGTTTAGGGATGGCAATAGGGTTTTAAATTTAGAAAAAAAATATTTAATAATTTTATTTGTTTATTTATATTTTTAATAATATATATATATATGAATTTTTTCTTATATTATACAAATAAATAGATTGACCTATCAGGTCTAACAAACTTTTCTATAAGTTTAAGTCTGACATTTTTTAAAAGCCTAAACCTAGCCTTTTTATTAAACAAGTTAGGCGAGACCAAGCTTTAAAGAGGACAAGTCATATGCCCCTATTTAAGGTCTGGCTTATTCTCATCCTTGCGCATGTTATAAAAAAAAAAATTAAGCGTTTTCTGTATTATATATCTGAGGAATAAACTCAGTTAAATAGAATAAAATAAAGTAAGTCAATTAAAGAGAACGGATAAAAAAATAGAACAAGTCAATAGCTTTGTCATTTATATACTGAAGTTTCACCAAATAGGGGAATGGAATGGGAACAGTAGTACAATATTATATATGAGTAGTAGTGCAGTATTATTAGCAGAGAAAAAAAAAGGAAAAGACAAGAGCATAGAAAAAATAAATAAAAAACTTACTTGAAAATTCTTGAAGCACTTAAAAAATCACTTCAAATAATCCTTCAAAATCTGCTAGGTTTGGATGAGATTATTTTATGAATTTTGTATTTATAGATACTACTGAAAAATCCTTCAAAATCTCTATAATACAACAATTCTTTGAAATCTTTTATATTTTTTAATACCAATTAAATATTTTTAAGTTGTAAAAAGTCTCAAATAAATACCAATGAATTTTAATAAACTTTTTGAAAAAAAATTTAAAATCCAAATTGAATACCACTATATTGTTTTTAAGTAACATAAAATCCTAATTAAATACCAATGAACTTTTTTACTTAAAAAAATCTTATAAAATCTTATAAAATCCTAAACCAATACACCCCCCTAAATGTTGAAACTTTGTTGGAACACTTTCTCATAATCCTCTCAAGAACGTGTTCCTATTCATCCATTTGGTGATCACTTTATACAAACTTAAATAGTTTTGTCCTTTTCCTGACAAAGTTATTTTTTATATTGTGCTTGAAATATGTTTGATAGTGAAAGCTTGGAAAGGCTAAGTGAAAAGGGATATTTAGGTTAGGTAAACTTGAGATAAGTTTACTTAGGTGTTTTGCCAAAATTTAGAATTTGTAACCGTGTTGACTCATATAACCCTTTGAGTTTGAAAGTACCTAAATGTACTTTAGATCAAGTAAACAAATATAAAACTTAACTATATGTTATTTTATTTTTCTCCTTTTATGCATTATTTTAAGAATATTTTGTAACTTATATTCATTTGCTTGTGAAAAAGGTTTTAATAATTTTGCATACACACATTTAACCCCCTTTTTGTGTGTTGTCTTTTTTTTTAGTTGGTATCAAAATGCAATTACTTTGAGTTATCGAGGGATGTTTATGATAACAGGTGTGCCCAGTTACAATGGATAAAGGAAACTAGGGTATACTTGTTACATTTAGTTGATTGTACTATCTTTGTTGACAAAAGTTCTACACATGTCAATGTTTCATTTTTTAGTTTATTTTTTTATTTTTTACCTTTAGGGTTGCAAAGGTTATGCATGGGATACAACTATGTTGACATGCATATACCACAAGTTGTTTGAAAGTTATTTGTCTAGCACTAGGCCACTGACTAGTTACATGACCTTGTTCCAAGTAAATAATTTTGTTCAAACTTTGTTAGTTGTTATTTCTCACATGTTGGTTTGACGAGTCATGTTTATAGTTATAGTAATGCAAATTCACGATCGAGTCGTTGGAATGACATTACTAATTGTCACGTACTAAAGGTGACTAAATGACCTCTTCACATATGATCTTAGTTGGACATTGTACGATGACCATTGTATGAAATGATTGTTTCAAGTCATTTCTTTATTTTCTAGTAACCTCAAATGAGGACCCATGATGTACTTACATTTGCTAAATAGTGTTTTGTGTAGTCATATGTATATTCAAATAATTCCTCTACCAATTTATGAGATACAATATGTACATACTGTTTTTAAGGTTGACCTAACATATTTTTGGACCTAAAACAAATTTTAATATAAGGCCTTTATAATTTCAATAAAAGTAATGAAAAATGGGTCTTTATAACAAATAAAATAGTTTTTTTTTGCCAACAATGTTCAAATTTTATTTATAACAAAAAACACCCTAATTACTATTATGTTGAATCAACTAATAGTAGAAATAATATAAATACTAATATTACATGTTTTTAAGAGACCTAAAGTAAGGGTTTGTTTTGCTTTATGGTTGGACAAACCGTGAATACTCTAGCTAAAATGGACAAGAGGTGGTTACACTACAAACCACTTAACTAGCGCATGAGTGGTGTACCCTCCATTATTGTTACATGGTACATAAAATAAGACTAGATGACCTCTCACCCATACTTGATATCATTGTCTGAGGAACAACCACCTAAAGTTCCACATGCACTTGTGCATAAATCCAAGACAGATGTCACATCACCCAATGTTAAATCAAAAGACTATTTTGGATCTCCCAAACTTTTGAGTTTTAATATTAACAACTAGTAAGTTTTTCCTAAGTGAAAATGTTATTGCAAAATATAAATCAAGTGAAGTATGAGACGCAAAATGTTTGACAAACAATGTGTCATCATACAAAGTATACAATCTAACTTCACAAAGTATTTAATGCACATCACCTATAATGACTTACGACTACTTGTTGTATGTCTAACTGATTATTTAATAGACCAACCTAAGAAAACTCTTTGAAACTCGCAAATCTGTTAAAGAGAATGAAGTTATACTTTAACCGAGAATTAAGGACAAATGTATCACTGAAATTGCATAAAAAGTCAATGCATAACTCGTTCCTTGTTGACAATCCTTACAAATAGTCCATTTGGTGAGTTAATAAGTAATTTTTTGATAAGTTAAGAAGTGACAATTTGGTGAAACATTTAATGCATCAACAAATACTTCTTACCTTAAGAAATCTACAACAAAGACAAATGAAACAAGTTTGTGAGAAACCCTTAAAGTTTTGCAACATTCATCTTCATTTAGGCTTATTATATAATAAACTTAATGATTAGAAAGATTTTTTTTTTTAAGAATTAACGAAGATAACTATTGTACAAATTATCATTCATTATTTTTGTGAAGATTTATGTTTCTAATTGCTTGTATCACGTATTGTTTACAAGACAAAACAACATCTATAAAATTTGACCTATATATTTATCTGTAAGAAAAAAACTTGTTTGAGCTTAAAGAGATTTTACTCTAAAAGAATACTTGTTTGAAACTAAAAAGACTTGTTTGGGTAGGCTATTTGAAGAGACAATTCAAATAACATGTGAGTTTTAACCAAAAGTAACTTGTGAAATGAATACTTATATTTTATTTAAGATAATGAAACTTAATCCGATTAAATTGAGAATTAAATATAATTTTGATGGTTGAAACTAATTAATATAAAAATATTATATTTTATCTATCTTTTCTTTAACATTCTTTCCTGTTAGCGTCACTATTTTATCACTTAAAAAATACAAATTTGTGATTCACACTATTTAAATCCTATTCCAATGCCTAATTTTTTCTTCACATCCGATATTGTTATATTAATAATCAAGAGATATCTCGGGCTGTAGTAAGATACTAACTTTATGATACTATTATACCTTCCCAATTTTCATATTGAGGCTATTTTTATGTTTAACTTTATAATGTTTGTTGTTTACGGATTGAAAAATAGTGTACCGTCAATTGCAATGTGCATGGATATTAGGAAGGGAAACATAATCGCATAAGTGAAGGAATAACAGTAAACAACTTATAATATTGCAAGTGATGTAATATTAACATTGATATTAGTTATAAATAAAAAATTATTATTTTTAATTATAAGTAATAATTATTAATTTTTAAAGTTATTTTAAGATATAATTATTATACCTAATTTATTATCACTCTAATTTTTATGTAATTATTTATAATTAATATTAGATATAACAATTACTTAAAATAAAATTTAAATTACAGTAAATTTAACCAAAACATAATGAACTTAATTACTTTTATTGATTTTGATAATCTGTCTTATATCTATAATATTAATAAAAAATGGTATGTATTTTTGATGTACACATTTTATTAATCATTTTGTCTCTTAAGTCTTAAAACATTAATTTTCTTCCATATTTTTTTTATTAGTTTTTTTTTTTCTATTTCTTTAAAAAATTAATTTTCAAACTCTTCATATCTACTAATCGTTAATCAATAACACATTTAACTTCAATTATATTTATAATTTGTTTTTAAATAAAATACACACAAAATAACTTTTTTACTCTGATTATAAAAAATATATTTGAATATTTTGTTATAAATATCAAGTAGTAAAAGATTAGTAGCGTGACTAATTTTGGAGTCAACTATCCCACTTTTTGAGGTGTCTCCAATATAACGAGGAGAACTGCTATCGATGGTAGATATTTCATGTACGAAAAAAGAAAGTAGTAAAAATATATATATATATATATATATATATATATATATATATATGAAATGGCAATTAAAAATATTATTTTATCCGTAAGACTAAAGAATAATTGGGGAAGTATTCCATGCGCGCTGTAGATTGTATTACCCCGTTCGTTCCCTCCTCTTCTCATTCTGAAAACAGAAAAGGGAAGAGAGCCACCGCACATTTTTGAAAATGCCCGTTCGCCGCCTCAGGCTCGATTCCGACTCCGACGAAGAACAACAACATCCACTTCAGCCACGTCCCGTCGAAATCTCCGACGACGACGATGACGACTTCATCGACGTCGCCGATAGCCTCTCTCCTCCCTCTCCCGCCTCCGCCTGTCCAATCTCCGACCACCTCCGCCGCCTCGGACTGTCCCTCAGGCGTGACTGGCTCGCTTCCTGCCTTCTCCAACTCCAATCCTCCGTCGCCGCCTTCCAACGCCTCGACGCCGCCGCCAAAGCCAAGCTCTGCTTCGAGCACTTTCTCTTCGCCGACATGAACTCCTGCGGCGCCGGTGTACTCCCTCCCGACGTCGATTCCATGCACCTTCGGCTTCTCCCCGGTCCCTACGTGTTGCAGGTGCGCCTCACATGCTTTGCTTTCTTCATACCTAATTACACGAAGACTCGCGCATTTTCACCGTAATGTTCGATTTACTGTGGCAGGTTGATGAAGTTATCAACATCTGTTGTCCTCTGCGAGGCAGATATGAAGCGGCACCTGCTGGACTCAAAAGGTGCCTCAAGTTGTCTATGACTGATGGCGTTCAGAGAGTCTTTGGAATGGAGTATAGGCCTATCAAAGCTCTTGAAGTTTGTGCATCTTCTGGTTCAAAGGTTTCTCTGGTGGTGCCATCACCTTTTTTATTTTTTATTTTTAAATCTGGATGTTTTATAAACTATACTCCTTTGGATGTAATTCCTTTTTGGGAATTTAGTGTTTCTGTTGTATTCTTAGTTTTTCTTGTTTTTTGTGGCCTTCTCTTGGTTTATCGCTTCAACGTGCTATCCATGTGATAATAAACTCTCAATTTCATCCCTAACTATTGAGAAATTTTTTGGTAGTCCAGAAGTATCAAGTGGTTATGGTTTCAATCAATCTCTACTAACATGTGTTTAAGTTTTTTCAATTTAAAGATAAAAATAGCATTTTTCATATAATGGAGAGATTCCCATGATATTCATTAGAGACTATGGTCTAGAATCACCAATAATTTATCCTGAAGTATTACTCTCTCCCAAACGATCCTTTAAATATTGAAAAATCTTTAAAGATGGTCCTTAAACCTTAGTAAATATATATATATATCAACTTGGACTAAATTGACGAATATTCAACACTTGGGAGATTGCTTATATAGTTTTATTACTTTAGGGGTTACTAAGGAGAGTGAGTAATACTAGGAGGGTGGGTAATGCTTGGGGGACTAAATTGGTGGTTTATTCTTTGGTTATATTTCTTGTCAGTGAAGTTGAGAGATTTATATGATACTTGTAGGTTGTCATCTCTAATGTACATGTGCGTCGCGGACTTCTGATGCTGGTCCCTGAAACCATTGTAATTTTGGGGGGATTGGTTGAGCAGCTGGATGCAGCTCGAAAACGGTTGGTTGAAGAAATAAATAAACCACCTAGGGGGAAAAGGTACAAATATTTGCAATAGGGTTACTTGGAATATAATGTGCAATGGAAGTTGTATGATATTTTAATGTGGAAGCTGCGTCGGAGCAGACTTTCTTGTTGTTTCTACGTTTCTTGCTGGCTTATACTGTTACGATGTGATTTTACTGCATATAGGTAAACCTTGATTGGTTAATCTTTACTATCTTCGTGCAGAACCAAAAACGGAGTGCTTCCTCCTTTAGCAACTAGAGCTACTCTTGCTGCATGGCCTTCAGGTGGAGTTGATGATCTTGGGCGCAGTGGCTTCATGCCACACGGTTCACATTCTGTCCAGGAAAACAATCAAGGTACATTCTTTTGTTACAGATAAAAGTAGGTATATGTGTGGATGGGAGTGTGCATATATGATGTAGACAATCTCCATATTATTTTTCCGGATTTTGTTCTTATCTGTTCTTCATGTATGCGTTTCACCACAGGTGCTAGCCTGAGCATGTCTGGCACTGGTAACAGCTTAACAACTGAAGATACTGTGTCCATGGGTGCACAAAATACTGCTTCTAATTCTATACTCCACATGGCATCCAATGCTGAGGCCATAAATATGAATATGCGTAGGGATAGTAATCCTGTTTCCCGTGTGAGTCCGATGGCTAACCAGCTCTCTTCTGTCATCTCAAAGGCTGAGGAGATGCATATAGATGCTGCTAACCTCACCAGGGAAACTTCTGTTGACAATCACACTTCTCACATGGATTCAAATGTTGCAGCAGCACATATGGACTCTGTTCATATAGCAAGAGAAAGTTATGCAGCTACCGAGTGCACTCCCATTGTTGAAAATGTTGAGACAGACAGGGATAGAACTCATGTAGCAACTGATAGTGCTCGTCTGAGAAGATCCTCCCCCGCCTTTTTAAATGTTGCAGCGACACATAAGGACACTGTTCATATAACAAGAGAAAGTTCTGTGGTTATGGAGTGCTCTCCCATTGTTGAAAATGTTGACACAGACAGGGATAGAACTCATCTAGCTACAGATACTGCTCATCCAAGAAGATCCTCCCCCACCATTTTAAACACTAGCGATGTCGACATGGTTGATGCCAGTGACCATCCACTCATTATGTCTGGAGACCAAGAGGTTCCTTTCACATACTTAGCTAGTTTGTCTGCCAAGTTGGCTGCAATGAAGGAGGGAGCTCCTTTTGTTCGGGGTAAAATCAAGGTAAAATGATAAAACTATCTACTGTTTCTTTCTTTGAGCAGTGATTTTTACCTCTTATGCACGTGTCAGTATTTGAGTTGCTTTTATTGACTCTTCAGCCAATATGAGTAGCTGAAATAATCGAGCATGCAACCAACATGCTTACTACGATATTATTGTCAGACGTTTCTTTCCTCTTTTAAATTACTACCTTATCGTTTGAGATTTGAATTCCAGCCATTCGTTGCTAACTTGATATTCTATAGTGAAATTGGTTCTTGGATAGAATTTTCCTTGGAGCATGTCATAATTCTACCAACTGATGTTTACGTAGTAATTTTTTGCAATCTTATATTTTTCTCTATGTGTACATCATTTTTTATTTTGTAGTGCTTTTTGACTGGTGTAAAAGGATTCCAGTATAAGAAAAGGGCAACTTACGAGCTTCAGGCATATGTAGACGATGGTAGCCTTATTTCTGAAATCCTCATTGATCATGATGTGAGTTTGCTCTAGAATTTAAGCTTTTGCACGGTCTTTATTTTTTTACTGTACTATGTTGATCAATGAAAAAAAAACATTAGGTGGTACAGAAAGGAATTGGTTATTCTCCTATGGAGGTAACCGCCGCTCTTTCTTCTCATGACACGAAAATTGTCCAACAAATGAAGGATACAATGCGTAAATTTCAAGCTTTTTTAGCGAACTTTGAGGTAATATAAATTCTCTCGCTGTAGACATAAGGGAATCTGACAGCTTACTGCAAGTTGTATGCAGTTAGCCATGAAAATTGGCTACAAATTATTAATTGTTTTTTCATTCTGTTAACTATCATCTTCATGCTTTTTTTTTCTAGGGAATAATACTTGTGGAATTAAATAAAAAATCTTCCCTTCCCCTTGCACTAGAGATGAGTCAAGGCTGTCCTCAATCTGATGCATGGTTACTTCTGAGAAGGCTGAAGTCTCTTCACCCTCCACAAGTTCAAGAACATTTTTCTTCGGATCCAATTGAATTATCCCCATAAGCATCAGAGTTACCTATCCAAGATGAAAATAGTACCGTTCTTCGTACTTCACCAAAATCCTCGAATTCCAACACCCTAGCATATCAAAGATGACTTAGAAATATGAGATTATGAGGTAGCATTTGATGCTGGACCAACTTTTATGCTGCCATCTCGCCCTGAGATGAATGTTTAAACGACTAGAGATGTAAGATATATTGTACTGCTCCGGAGAAAAGTCGACAAAAATGTATGGTTTTCATTTTCATGAAAAAAAGGAATTACCGTTGATCCAAGTTAGCAGAAAAAGAAAGGTGATTGATGGACCTTAAATGGCATTGCCCTACATTGGAAAAAAATAATCAATTGCTCTTGGGAAAAGGAGGAATGAAAGGTTGCCTGATATATACTACAGCTGAGGCATGAATTGGCCTTGCATCTTTCATTGTTCTCGGTGTTCCCACTGGAGGTTTATTTGTCGGATGAGATGTATATTTTCATCTTAGGATGCATTGTAGTTCATGAATGCGTATAATTTTTTGTTTTTGCAATTAGAATTGTAAATTTTCTGACGGTGATTTTAGCTTTGCTAATGTTAGTCCAAGCGGTTTTGTCAAGTTTACTGGCATTTTCATTATCAATGTAGCTCTTATATATTGTAGCAATGTAGCGAGCAAAATAGCCACAAGTGTATATATCTGGAAACAGCTCTGAAGATTAAAAGCAATTGTTTGCATTGCTAATTTTAGTCCAAGTGGTTTCGTCAGGTTTACTGACATTTTTATCATCAATGTAGCTCTTATATATTGTAGCAATGTAGCGAGTAGAATAGTCACAAGTGTATATCCCTGGAAACATCTCTGAAGATTAAAAGCAATTGTTTGCACCTCTCCTGTAGTGTCAAATACTCGTTCAGTTTGGGAGTAGTATTTGATAACAAAATAAAAGTAAATAAGAATTTCTTGAACGAGTGTCAAAATGAAACAGGTGACAGTTGATCTCCTTCAAGAATCAAGACTTAAAGCCTTGGAGGGAATCTTGTCTATTATTTCCTTATTAATATTAATTTCAACGGCACTTTACCACTGATGTTTAGTTGGGTTTGAGATTGGGATTTCTCACTGACTTGGGATACAGATATTTCTTTAAGCTTGTTACATCAAGGAGTTTCTTGCTAACTGTATCCCTCTCCGAAGAACCCGACACTAGTGACATGCGACTAACAAATTCTAACAAGTCAGGGCATAATGTCTTCCAATAGAACATTGTACTAAACCATGCTGGCTCCGTCAAATGCGAATCCCCGCGGCATGCGCTTTTCACGATTGCTTTGGCGGCCTCTGTGACTGATCTTACGGGCATCAAACTCACTTGAATCTGTTGCCAAAATGACCAAATGAATAAATAAATAAAAATTGCATCCAAGTTCTGTCACAAAAGTAAAGCTATCTTACATCTCTCATTTGTTGATCTAAAACCATCTTGCCTTCTTTTGATAGGACTTTCCCTTGCGACATTTCTGACCCAATCAGCCCTGGAGTGACTATAGTTATACCAATGTCGTTTCCCAATTCAGATCTCAGAGTCTCATATAAGCTGATAACTGCTGCTTTGCTCGCCTAGAGAAATAAGAAAAGGTATAAACTGGTTATTTACAGAGAAAAATATCATTACAGAAGCTTAAATTAGCTTGTTGATGAGGTCTCGTCTGTTACATTGTAGATGGCCATCCTTGGAACAGGCAACCATCCAGTACAGGAAGCTATTGCTATGATCTTGCCTTTGCTTTTTCTGAGGTGGGGGATTGAAAAGTAAGTGCCATATGCAGAACCCCAGAAGTTAATGTCCTGTTAAATCGACATTGTTTTAATCTAAATATAAGGTGGACGTAAATGTTCATAATTTATTCCTCTTAAGCTGCTGCAGAGAATTGTTAAAAGTAGATAGTTTCATTACCATTACAGGAGTAAAATTAGTGATATCAGGGGTTTTTTCGAACAAGCCGAGAAGACCTACTCCTGCATTGTTCACCAGATGATCCACTACAAAGGAATGTCACAATTGACCATCTCTTCTCATAAACATATCAAAATCAAATAATAATCGCGAAAAAAGAAAAACCTACATTGTCCAAAGTGTTTGATTGTTGATTCAACAAATCGTTTACAATCTTGAGCATTTGAAACATCTGCAGGAATGATGATCACATCAGGGGATCCATGCAATTTGGCATTGCTAGCAACCTCCTTGAGTCGATTCTCTCTTCTTGCAACAAGTGCTAGACGCGCTCCTCTTCTGGCATACTCATATGCTAGATGCTTTCAGAAGCAAATCAAAAAGGAAAACACAAAAAGAAACCAATTCCACAAGGTCAATTACAAGAATTAATAATGGTTGAAACTTAAATAGTTAAAAACGTGAAACAACTTCGCCTATGCCAGAAGAGGCTCCAGTGATTAGTATCACTTTTCCTGCAACGTTTTCACTAAACACCGATCTTACGATGAAGTGGAGAATCTTGAAAACCAGGTAACACGGAAAAATGATGAGCAGCAAAACCATGTTTACAGGGTGACATACAATGTTAAAGGTTTCATGAATGAAAACCATGGTTTGAATTGAGTTCTCTCTAAAAGAAAAGAAAATGCGAGAAAGATCAAAAAGACACAGAAAATACTCTACATTACTTTGACATTAATTTTGCATGGAGTAGAAACAACACGTAGCACTTTTGTCTTCGGAATCTGGATACGTGTTAGTGTTGTTCAACTCAATAAAGTAATAAATCAAACTTTGTATAAAGTTACTTTATATAAAATTAAATGCTAAATTAATAATTATCATATATATTATTTCTTATTTTATATAAAAAGTTATATAAATTTTAACGTATATCAACCTCTTTTTCTACTGAAATATTTGTACTTCTCACAACAAGAATAAGATATAAATATTTTTTTTAAAGAATAAAATTACTTTTATTTATTTATTAAATGTTTACTATCTGTGAGTGAATGTACATTAAGATATATAAGTGTACATGAATTGTCACTCTAACAAAAAAATATTCATATTTTTTATTTTTATGACATTGTATATATTTATTTTAAAATCTAAAATTTAATAATATTGAATAAATCATTTTTTTATTATGAAAATTAAAAAAATAACTCATGATAACATATTTAAAAATAAATTTATTGATTTTTAAAAAACTATGTTTATTAACCTAATTAATATAGTTAATGTAAAATAGACTTTTAAATAGATTAATATTAGACTTTTAAAAAGGTCAGATCGAACTTATAAAAAAATTTATAATAAATAATAGGTCAGACTTAAGTTTTAATTTTGTAAATCAGACTTGACCTATATATTCAAAGTGTAACGACCCGCCTAGTCACTACACTTATTACATTACAATAAAAATTAAGTAGAAACATAAGCATCAAACATGTGCTTAGGATATTATGCAACAAGTAGGTAAATCTCATGCAAGTAATCATATAAGTAAGGAATAAAATGATTATTCTTGAACATATATACATATTTCATACAAAAGAAGTAATTATTGTGTACAAAATAAACCTAGTCACTGGTTAAGCTTCTATACAAGACCTCATTATCTTAAGAGAGCAACATCCAAAAAAGAGTCATCTCCAGTGTGATTCACTATCGAACAATACCACTTGACCTATTAATTATGTCTTGCTTCCATATCAAATATGACCATAACAGTCCCAAACCACAAGGAAAAATATATGGTAAGCATGTGATACAAAAGTATCGCATACAACATCCAACATAAACAACTTAAAATGAACATCATTCATTATATCATATCATATCTTGTCATACAACTTAAAGTATCCAAACACCTGTACAACTTAAATAATTTCATCACAATATCAAATAATATTTCACTCACAATTATCGTTTTATAGCAGCCTATATATCTTTACACCTTCAACTTAGCAACTTTCAATAAACTCATATACATATCAGTAGACAACATTAACATTTCTATCATTAACACATCAGAAACAATGTAGAACAACATAAAAACTCATTAACTATCATTCACCTCAACATCTTCAACAAAACAACATAATCTACAAACATATAAATACAATTGATGTGTCACGCAAATCAATTATGGAAATCTTTTACAATTGAGGTGAAGAGTTTAAGTGACTTGACCCTACCAAATCACAATGGTTGGTATAAAATGAAAAACAACGTCTGACACTATGGCCATAAACATTGGTTGACATTAGGGCTAAAAACAACGGCTAGTATAAGGCTAGAAACAACGAATAACATAAGCTAGATTAATTTATCAAGTTTTATCACTTAAACTAGGAAGTATGATACTATGTTAAGGTAGAACGGTTTGAGTATAAGCCTACCACGATATTAGCTTGCAACACTTAACTTCCTATGGGACTAACCCACCGACTATCACAACCCTTAAATACTCGATTAGGGATTAAGTCCTTGACTTCATACTTTATTCGATTGGTCACTTATAATTAGTATATCTCGACCTCACCCCTATATTGTGGTCACTTTAGACATGTATGTCTCGACCTTACTCACATACAGATACCATATAGAACTTAAAGAAGACAACTAAAAATAGCATACCCATTTACAAGCCACTTACTTACTAAAGGGTTCAACATAACATATATATGCACAATGGGATATTACAATTCAAAAATATCTTTAACTCTCTTTTAGTTTCTATATATCTGAACATAGACATGTATCACAACCACATGCATAACAATTGAACAACTTAACAAATTATCATCGTACAATGTTATAGCTTAAATATCATTCATCTTACGTCTTAACCATACAACAACATATCATCATATCAACTTACTTCTTTACAACTTAATCATCTTTCAACATGTATACCAGCTTTCAACTTAATCACAATAATAAACACAACATTTTATACACAATAACTTTACAGCTTTCAACTTTAATAACTATCAATATCCATCTTACAACTCATATATCCTCATTCAACTATAAGACAACTCAAAACATCTAAGCAATATAACAACTTAACATCAAGGTAGTTTTGCAACTTTAAGCATACATCAACAAAAGCAACATCTTGACAATCAACTGAAAACAACAAAACAATTTAACAACTGAATCAACTTCAAACACAACTGAATAACTTGAAACACAACTTCCAACCAATAGTACCACTTAGAACATTTATAGTAATCTCAACATCTAATAGCTTAGGACATCATCGTATATTACCATATGTTATAAGAGAGTTAGCACATATCATTTTCAACATGTGATCATCAATTAGCATACAACAACAACTTTCACATAACTCAACATAATTGGAGTTCCACAAATCCAATCAAACTCATCTTTATCTCATATGAAAGTTAAAAAGGTTATCTACAAATCTTATGAAGACTTCAAGTTCTAACTCCATCATATACTATATTGAAAACCATAGAAAATGCACAGTTTACTTGAATGCTGACAATTTGACCTTTGCTCACTAAAAAGGTCATAATTGGAGTCCTAGACTTCTTTTTTAGGTGATTTTAAAGTCATTGGAAAGCTAACATTCAGGGCTACAACTTTCATAAATATCCCAAGAGCAAGTTTGATCATGTACCCCTCCCTCTTTTTAAGAAAACTCCACAAGACCCTTTCCTTAAGACTAAATCAATTATCTAATCTCAACTCTCTGTTGTACCCCACAATTCAAATCAAACATCATAAATATGAGTATTACACAAAGTTTAGTCTGACCTGACCTATTCTCACCCCTACCTATGATCATCAAAATCCTATTTTAGTGGGTATACTTAAGGAAATTTCTCAGCATCAAAGGTAAAATTTCTCTAGTAAGCCCTTATCGACCCTAAGTTCGGTAAGGAAAGTCCTAAGTCAAATCTAACACTATTGAACTTCGACTAATCACTAAGTGAACATTAATGTTTGATATGAGGATTCTCAACATGTCATTGACTCTCAATTTGGTAGTCATCTAAGTATCATCCTCTATCTTCCATTTTAAGCATAAAAAAGTATTTATAAAATTGAATTTTACTCTCTTTGAAGCATTAGAAGATAAAGTGCAATAATAATTATTGATTAAAAATCAAGGATGAATATTATAATTAATTTTATCTCTTCAAATATTGCAATTGTACAATTTTTGACATATTTAAGTTATATATATTATAATTTTCATTCAAACATTAATAAATGATACACACACACACACATATATATATATATATATGTATGTATGTATGTATGTATGTATATATACACACTCTAAAATTACTAATATATGAGCTTAAATAAGTATATTTTTGTGTAATCAAAATATTTTAGAGACTAAAATCACACAATTGCAATACTTTAAAAACTAAAATTGTCCAAATAAAAATTAAAGCAAAATTATATTATTGCAATACTTAACTGATTAAAATTGTTCAATTAAGATTTGAGAGTAAAATCGCACATTTAATATTTTGTGAAAAATCAAAAACACATTTAACTCAACATTATTTATTATTATTATTATTTTGTGTAGAATCCCTAAACTACAATCATTAAAAAAAAGGACAAAAAAAGAAAATAATAACGATCCTATATAAATAATAAGTCCTATTGTAATGTGATGCAACATTCTTTGTCACAAACACTTCCAAGTTACACTCATTTGCAGCCCAAGTCAGGAAATGAAGAATGCAACAAACTAACATTTTATTGTTCCTTAAGGTCTGGGAACAGCAGTAGCCTAGTTTGGAGAAAGCCCAAAGACCAAGCGGCAGGCCCAATCGATTAGTTGAGGAAAAAGAAGCCTCCAAGGAAACAACACTTTGAACCACGATGGATATCTCCTCTGCATGCACTTTCCACTGTGGCTGTAGCACATTCACATGCTGATCCCATCGGAATTCTTCCTAGACTACCCTACATTGCAAAAATACACTAACCACTAAAAAGTTGTGTTACTCACTAAATATCCTATTTTAATACAACATATTTAATTTGCATAACATATCGACTCTTATGTTTTGTGTTACACCTCAAGCAAGTTAAAGTGTTGCAATTTAGTTTACCTTATTCACTGTAAAATTAAATTTGACTAGTACTCTGCACTTCAGTGTAAGCATGTTTGGCAAATATTTTTAGTTAATTACTATTTTTTTTTTTTTACAAGTAGAAAAACTTGTTTGATCATATAGGGTAGCTCGGTACTTGTAATAACTTATAAATGTTCTTTTACTTCAAATATAGGGCAGGTATTTACTAGAACCTTGCACATTATATAAGGTAGTAAAGTGACGGGTATGGATGAGTTAATAAGTATAAATATATTAATTCAATGCTGTGTAGATATAGTATTAAACACTACGTTTTAGGTTTTGGGAAATGCTAGCTATTCAGTATTCTGAAGATACAAGTTAAGAAATGAAAAAAAAAAGAAGTTTTTAATAGCACACTCCTATATAAGTTTAATGTAAATTTCATTAACTTTGTTTATATATAATTTCTTAATTAGTCTCCTTAGGACATTGCTTTACTTAATAAGACCCTTATAATTTTACATAAAATTGCACTTGAACATTAGAATGTTTACTATCTTCCACACGGATTAAACGGATTAATTATTATTTTTAACGTAAATATTTTGTATCAATATTATGTTTTAAAAAAAATGTATAATAATATTTCTTTGCTTATAAAAAATAAAAATTAAAAAATAAAGCAGCGTAATACTCAAAAGAAAATTATCTCCTTCCTGTTGTTTGATATTTTGCTTTGATTTTGTACGTTTTTTTATTTTTATTTTTATTTTTATGAATATGGGTTATTTTTTTTTAGACTAGAAAAGAAAGAAAAAAGAAGGTTCTTTGCTAAACTTTCATTATAGTTCCCTTTCTTACACTCAAGGTTTTTTATTTGGAAAAGATTAAATTTTGATTTAATTTAAAAATTTCCAACAAATTATTTAAAAGAAGTGATTATTATTTTTAAATAAATTCTACCAAAGCACGCATTAAGTTAATAACATTAAAAATTTTAAATGCCATATGTCAAGTATATTAATTTAAAATACAATAAAGTTAGGGTAAAATGCACTTTATTTTTATACAGAAGAAAGTAACCCAACAATATTAATTATCTTCCTATCACAATCTCTCTCTATTTTCCTCATCTTTCCATTTTCGTCTTTGTTTTTCATGGCATTGTACACTTCAAATATGTTACGCAAATATTTGGAGAAGCAAAACTGAGTATCAAATTGCATCATAGATTCACCGGAATTTGCTTGTAGAAATTGTGATGTATGATACAACGTACATTATAAAAACAAACTATTTCGATTATAGTATTCACTACATAAAAATGCCTAACGTGATATTTCAAAGTTTGAATATTCGCAAAACCTTGCATCCATTGCTAGTAATCGATCGATTTCATCGAAAAATTAGAGTTTTGAAATATAATGCAAGGCATACCTATCGATAAGGACTATCATTTTATTCATGTCACATGTTAACATATTAGACTAGAAATTAATCTTATTCATTGTAACTGTTGATAATTCTATAAGTTTTCACAGATGGTGAGACTCAAAAAGGGGTTCTCCACTACATAGATGACCCTCATAACATGTAAGTATACAATGTCTAACAATTACATTAACTCATGGTATTAAAGTTTCATTTCAAAAAGAATTAGCAAGACCAAAAGAATTTGCTTTTGAAATATAGGAGAAAAAACTGACACTCATAATTGATAGGAATGTCATTGTATTGGATAAAAAAAAAATTAATGGATCTTCAATGCATATATATTAATCTATCAAATATATCTCTTAATCCACTGCGTTAGAAACTAATTTCATTTATATTATAAATATATATTATAGGAATCAAATGCAAAAATTTTGTTAAACAAATTATCTCTACAACGTGTAAATACATAATATTTTTATTATTATGTCAACCTATTAAAATTCTCTAATGCAATATAATATATGATTTATCTTTTCAATATTTACGACATGACTTGCCTAATTAAATTCATGCATTTAAGGTTAAAAGAATTTTAGTTATACAAATCACAAACAATGTATACATACGTAGAAGAATTTTTTTTTAAAAGACAATACAAATAGAATATATTAAGCTTATTGGTAAGAAAACAAATCTTGTTAATTGGATGTGTCCTAAAACTTATGTTCAATATTGTAAATAATGTTTGCTTAATCTTCTGGGTAAAGATTATAAATGAAAAACCTTAAATTTTTTTTTTTTTTTTGTTTTTACAGATAAACAACCTTTAATTCTTAAACTAATAATAATATATATTCTTTAAAATATCAATAACATGCATGTTACAAAAGGAAAAATATTATGAATATGACAATAAACAATATATAGTACGTAGTCTCGTTTAGATAGAGGTTCTTCCGCGAGCTATCCAATTTTTTTTTTACGGTCGTGGGTTTTGATTATCTTATTTACTTTAACTAAGTTTTATAATATCACAAGTAATTAATTTACAAAAAAAATTATGTATTTTTTTTTTAAGTTGCCTTTTAGTGTGACGTACATAGGCCAACTCGAATACAGAAAAAATAAGTAACAGTTGTTTATTTTTGAACAACCAACAAGATCCATGTGCTAAAGATCTCTCTCTAATATTGGTATTATTTCCTTTTAAAAAGAAACACTCCTATTGGGTAAAGAAAAACTATTACATAAAATATACTATAAAATGCAGCTATTAATTTTGCTTTATCTCGTATGCCCACTCCCACCATTGTTGTTTGTTGATTCAATCATTCATTCCATGTTACATGTCTGCAACTCATAAATTAGAACGACAAGTGTCATTTATGTGAATAGTTTGTGCATTTTTTTTTAATTTCTTTTGGAAATCGATGGGAATAATGGTTTGTTTAAAAGAAATTAATCTAATGCATATGTGTAATTATAAATTACCCACATAATATGAAATGCATTATAAAAAAATAATTCATAATATAAGTATTATTCCTATAAATTCATATACTAGTGTCGACCCTACAACATAAATTTTCTGATCCGTCAACACGCAACCACCCCCAAAAATATAACTTTTATATAATTATTTTTTTGTATTTTTATTTATTTGACATATACATTTAATATATAATATACAAAATCAGGAATAAATAATGATAAATAATGGCTTTTAAAATGAATTAATAATAAATAATGGCTTTTAAAATGTTTCAATAAACGTGATAACAACATTTTAAATAAACGTCCATAAATACTTGTTTTAGGATATAATGGATATTAATCAATGAAAATAAGTAAACAGTATTTAATAAAAATAATATAGGACATGCAAAGAGGAGATTTATAGATTTTTTATTTAGTATTGAAATGCTAATTGTGATCATTTTCTAATAAAGACTTGAAATTATATGTTGCAAAACACGTTAAAGCTTATCTAAACTGATGATAACTAAACCTTAATGGTAAAATTCTATTTGAAGAATTAAAACTCATCACATAAATTTTAACAATTAAATAAAAAATTGATGCAAAAAATAATTAAATAAAAATCAAACTTTATTATGATATTAAATTATATGAAAATATTTAATTATTTTTCTAATGCATGTATACAAGTTATGTAATAATATTAATTTTTATTATTATAATTGTATCTGCTAGAATTGTTTTTTTTAATGCAAGAACAAGTTATGTAATAATATTAATTATTATTATTATAATAGCATCGGTTGAGACAATTTTTTTTCTAAATTAAAATTGTTAAAAGAATTTAAGAAAACATTGATATTGAACGAATTATTTGTGGTTTTGCAAGAAAAAAAAATGCAAATTAAAATAATATTTAAATTACAACTAATTTTTAAAGTTATTTAGGATTAAATTTTTTTTATACCCTTCATTTATTATTGTTATATTTTTTTTTATGCATTTACTTATAAATTATAACTAACATTAAATACAACAACCACATAAAGTAAAGAGTGTATTTAGAATAAATTTTGAATTTATGGTAGAATAAATTAAAAATAATCATATTAATTATTTTTTTTTTTATCTAAATGATTTGTCATGTGATACTTATAGTTAGGATTGAAGATAATATTACTTTTTCAATTCACATAAAACACTAAAAAATATTCCTGTCAATATTAAACAATAGTGATATACAATATTGTTATGATGAGAATTATGGTATTCATAACAAATACCTATCGATATTAGTTAATAGAAATGATTTATGTCTTTTAATTAAATTATAAAAAATTTGAATATTAATCTTGAATATTTCTTTTATCCATAGGAATTATAATGATAAAAAGAAAGTTAAAACATAAGATTATGTACACTACTATAATTCTCATTAATCTAAAATATGAAATAAATTATATTAAAATAAATATTCACTTTTGTGCATGTTTTCAGTGATGAATACCAATCAATACCATAATTAAAAATAATAATAATAATACACATGATAATGTCATGTTGGAAAAGAAAAAAAGGACACAAAAACAAAATCAATAAATGTAGATAGTTATATAAATAATAAATTATGTGGTACATTAATTTGTGTGTCACAAACACCTCCATGTTGAAGAATCTAAGATTTTAGTCTACCTTAAGCTCTGGAATCCTGGACAAGTGCAGATTGGCTTTCATGATAGACGAGTTTTGAGAAAGCTCAAGGATGAAGCGGATGGCAAAGTCCACCACTTCAGGAAAAAGCACCTTCCATGGAAACAATACTTTCACCCACGATGGATCTGTCACGTACTTATCTCCCCTGCATGCACTTTCCACTATTGCTGTAGCACATTTACGTGCTGACCCCATTGGAATTTTTCTCAGGATAGCCTGAATATAAGAAATTTATTAAGATTTAGCTTTCCAACATTCATGTTTCTTTTAACACCTACAAAATAACTACCAACCTCGTGTTCCATTGCCCTCGATGCAAGGTCCGTCTTGATAAAACCCGGCGTGACGATTGTTATGCCAATTCTCCATCCAACTTCCATTCTCAGACACTCAAAGAAGTTTATTACCGCTGCCTTGCTTGCCTGTTAACGTTATTCACAATTATATTTATATGATCTTCAGATAAAATCTTCGTAATTTAATTACCCTTTAAATCGAGACTTTGATAAAGTACCAGATTGAACTTTGAGTTTATTATTATGTTGACTAAATAAATAATTTAACCAAGGAGAATGTAATTAATTAATGGTCTAGTGGCATATATATGCAGTGTACGTATATCTTTACAAGTCTGAAATGAATATATGTATGGAAAGTTTACATTATAGATACTTAGTTTTGGTAACGGAAACCATCCGCAACCTGAAGCAATCACTATGATCTTCCCTTTGCTCATTTTCAGATATGGAATTGCATATAAAGTTCCATAAACTGCTCCCCAGAAATTTGTATCCTGAAAATTCTAAAAGGTTAGTTTTATTAAAACAAAGAAAATTCTGAATAAGACTAGAGATTCTAATTTAGTTCAACCTGTTCACTATATGATTTAATCATCCAAATATCCAAGCAATTATGAACAACATCACAGGATAAATGATAAAAATAAATATATCCCACAACGATACAGCCTCTCAGCAATATTTTTATTCTTTCTTGCCTGTGAGCAAATAATAATCATATATGGAACCATATTTTTTCATTAAAAAATGCTTACAAATTAAAATTATATTCAACGAATATAGATTAATCTTTGATCCTCATACTACATAGATTATATTAAAAAAAATTCAAAAGCATGTTAAAGTTTCAGATGATGAATTAATATTTAAGGGATGTACCAATTACTAATAGATAATTAATGCACCCATAATTAGTTGTTAAAATATCATTCTTCCGTTTCATGACTTACCATAACAGGAGTGTATTCCGAAACTTCATGGAAATCCTCGATCACTACAAGCTTACCACTAAATATTCCAGCATTATTGACCAGATGGTCCACTGCACATGACACTAATTCAATCAATTTTAATTAAAAAGTAGAAAAGCAAATACGAAATTGCTTGGAATATAAAAAAAATTCACTATAGCGCGTGATTTGTGGTGACATACGTCGTCCAAAGTAGTTCAGTGTTTCATCAACAAATTGCTTACAGTCTTGAACCTTGGAAACATCTGCACCAATGATGGTAACATCAGGACAGCCCAAAGATCGTGCCTCGTCAGCCACTGTTACAAGTTTCTCCTTTCTAATGTCAACCAGGGACAGTTTTGCTCCTCGCCTTGCATATTCATATGCTAGTTGCTTTCGAAAATAAATAATAATACATTATTATTAACAATATTGTATTTTATACAAAAAGAGAGAAAATTGGAGTATAGGTGAATAATATTTTAAAATAATGTTACGAACATAGAACTCAAACTAAAAGGGACATGAAAAAAGTGAGAGACCTGGCCAATCCCTGAGGCTGCTCCAGTGATTAATACAACTTTGTTTGCCACGTTTTCGGTGTATACCATCTTCTTTACATACATAAGCTGCTTCCATAACAGCAAAGGTAGTGTCAAGATGCTGAGCAAAATTAGTGATAATGGGGGCAATGCAAAGTTCAGTAGCTTGGTAATTGAAACCATGGCTTTGTGAGAGATTCAAATCATTACTTTCCGGATATATTTGATGGTGATTGCGCTTCGGATACATGCTTTGATTTATTGCAATTGGTAGAACTCAAAAATATATTAAAGAATTTCCATTTTATTTATATAATTATATAATAATATAATAATTAAAAATAGTCAAATATAATCGTAGTACTGAAGATACTATACCAAAAAAAATACTCAAGAGACAGTAAATATAACATTAAGCATATGACTAAAGTTGTGTATGAAACTTATATTTAAGATTTTATATTCAAGTTTTCTATATGAAAATAATAGTAACATACCAGAGAGATAAACCCCGATTAAAAAGGTAGTTCCTGACTAGGTTTATTGATAGATTAGGCATTACCAAATTCATATACTTCACATGTTAAAAAACAAATAATAGTTTTTTTAAGCATACAATAATAACAAAAATGAAAATCATCTACTCAGCTCAATCCACATCTGACTCAAGTGACTCAAATAAAATAATACTAACAAGACCATGGGCATTACATTGGGTAGGTACAGTAACTGTTATTGAAAGTTAATGTGTATAGAATATAGTTGAGTTAATTCATTGCCATGTACGGTATATTCATGTAATGCCACGTGCTCAAGAAAATTATTTCCTCTCGTCGGGTTTTAATTAATTGATACTAGTCTTTTGCTTTAATTTTGTAGGGCAATGCGAAGGAAAAAAATGTTTGTTTATACTATTGGATTTTTTATTTATTTATAAAAGTGTTTCATGAAAATTATTAAAAATAAGTAATTATTATTTTTAAATAAATCGAATAAAACACCCACTAAGTTAATACATATAAACAAATGATTTTATCTTGTATATCAACCTTTTATTTTTATTAATTATAAAATATATTAAAAAATTAAAATTTTAACTAAATTATACAAAATGGAAGGTTGAAGATTCCATGAACAATGTTGAAACACCAAATTGAATTTGAACTCCTTGATAGGTGTAACAACCTCATTTTTGGGCATGTCCTGTGTGTCTCACATAAACCCAGAGTTACAGGAACCCAGAATTAGCTAACTCATTTATTTTTGTTCAATGTTTTGTTTATGATATGTTAATAAGATAAATAAAAACTGACAAATGTAACATTTCCTTTATATTAATTAAAAGATAAAATTACAATCTATTCTCATTATATAGAATTAATTATATATATTAAAAGTAATATATAATTCTTAAGATATTATTTAATTAATGTTATTAATAAAATATTTTAATAATATAGAAATAAATTAGTGTTTTATGATAAAACATTATTTGTTATATTTAATTAACATGATTATTACAAAATTTAATACTTATATATATGCATGTTGATTATATATATATATATATTATACATGTATAATTTATTTATAGTTTTATTTTGTTATTATTTAATAAATAAATTTAAATTTAGTTAGTTATATATCTTACAATTTTTTTAATTAATTAAATGAAAGACAATGAAAAAAAATATTTTATAATATATTTTAATTAAAAATATATTTTTTTGTCAATATTAAAATTATATTTTAAAATCTTATAATAATAATTTTTTAACGCTGGAAGGTTAACTACTCTAAATTAAAATAATAAAAGTGACAATATAATACTTATATCTCTAAAGGATAAAAGTTTAATTTATTAGATATTTTAACATATGAAGGAGAGATAATGTAATACTTACGTATATTAAAAGAAAGGAGTATGATTTAGATTAATAATGTTAAATTAAATAAACTAAAGTGTATATTTCAGCATAAAAATAGAAAGATAATACTCATATCTCTTAAAAGATAGTAATGTAATTTTCTCAGACTAAAAATATAACATTATTAAAATGGGTTGTCCAACTAAAATATACCTGTAATAGAGTTGAGTGTTTGACTTATATATACTTCTTAATTTAGGTTAGGATTCGACTCTCTACATAAATAGGAATCGCAACTAAATATATTATTTTATTTTTGTAATAATATCATTTTTGAAAGAAAAAAGTATAACTCTATTCTATTGTGTTGATTTTTATAAGGATAAATAATACTCATCAATCGTCATTTTATGTTTAAAGGACATATCTTATCTTAATAATACTAAATTTAAAATAGTCCTCAATCTTTATTTCATATAGTTATGCTAGTTTACATTAATATATGAAGTTTATAATTTTTAAAATATTCCCTTTAAATATTTGGTATGAATAATCTTATTAAATTAATATTTAGTTTCAACTTTTAAAGTACGAATATAACTTTTATGCAGTATATTTTAATAAGGTCCATTATTAATATATTAAATTTATGAATAATTTTAATTTTAATTAACTTAATACAAATTTTTAATATTTAGAATTAAAATAGAATAACAGATAGATTATTTTTTAAACTAAATTAAACATTTCATTATTTAAGTCAGTATTATTTTGATTCACAAAATGACTTCATTATCTAAAACTATGAATAAAAAAACATTTGTATAAGTCTAAGGTAAATGAGCGAGAAACAATCTATTTATGTAAATTTAGAAATAGTTATTAAATAAGTAGTTGTAGTTGGAGCTTTGTATAAGTGAAGTTAGTATTTGGTGTATTTGTAGTAAGTAGGTAAGGTTTCCATAATTGTTTGTTTAGAATTTAAGAACATTAAATGCTGCTGTCGGCACTCGGCAGTTATGGCGATCTTATCTTGTCTTCTCTAGCGCATTCACGCTGTCACACTTTAAGGGAATGCAATAAATTAAATAATAACTGATTTAATAAAAATAAATATAAAATAAATTTTATAATTGATCGCTAAAGAAAACTTAGATAAAAAATATTATTTTAAAATAATATTATATAATTAAATCTTTATGAAATTAAATTATTTCATTTTTGCTAATTTATTTATCTATAACATATATATAAAAGTGAGAATCTTATTTGAGTTATATATTTTTTAGGCTATTTTATTTTTAAATAATAAAAAATAATATTAAAAATTAATTATTTTTATAAACAAAACTTAAATTTAAGATCTTAATGCTTAAAGATCAAATTGATCTAATAAATATTAAATTTTTTAAATATTTTTATTTAAAATATTAAAATACAAAATGTCTCAATTTTATGAATTATAATAATTATAATTATAATTTTAGTTATATTTTAAATTATTTATTTAAAATTATATAAATATTTTTTTTGAAATTAATTATATATTTAATTACATACATAATCAAATATATTAATTAAATATATATTATTGTAATAATTACATATTATATTATGTATATAATCAAATATGTAAATTGATTAATATAATCGTTATATATTCAATTAAGTATATGCATAATCGAATATAACTAGTGTTACTTAGTGAATAAGATTAAAAATCAATGGTTATTGAATGATATATTTTGCTATTTTCTGATTTTCACGCAAATCATTTTATGTTACTAATGTTAGTAGTTTTTTTTTTTTTTTTTTTTTTTGAGAAATACTCTTATTTACCTTTAAATACATTCAAATCATTGCCCCTAGCAAATTTTATGTTACTAATGTTAGTAATTTTTTTTTTTAAAATACTCTTCTTCAATTTTTTAAATAAACGAAGCATATGCGTGATTTCGTTCGCCCGGTGGTAACAAAGGTGCCTTCTCTTTCCACTGTGGTGGCAGTAAAGGCGTGACCTTCTTCGCGCCTGGCTCGCCCTTGACGACCTCGCTATCACACTCGCCTCCCATCGTCTTCCTTGTCCTCACCACTAGTGCCCTCTTCACTCCTATCTACAACATCGCCACCAGCCTCCCCGTCCCTCACCATCCCCCAAATCTTTACTGCAGGCCTCTCTGTCCCCGCCATTCTCCTCCTCCTTGGTGCCACCGGCCTCACCGCTACCTCCTCCTCCCCGTCGTCTGTGGCATTCAACTCTCCTGGGGCCTCTCCGCCGCCTTCTCCGCCATCAACTACATCTACTACGACCAAAACCTCGCCACATTCAAATTCGGCCCTCCCCGCCCCTGGCTCGCCCTTGACAGCTTCGTCGTCACACTTGCTGTTATCATCTTCCTTGTCCTCACCACCGGCAACCACTCCCAACCCTCACCACCACAAGAAAACCATAACAGAGACTAATATGCAAAATACAAAAAATATTATCTTCCAAGTTACCAGTAACAAATCTCAACCATTGATTATTATAATATTAAATCTAATCGTAAAAAATAATGCTTCATCCATGTACCACATTTTTTGCTACTTCATGTTAGAATTTTCCAAATAACATTATAGTACAAGTAAAATTATGTATGAATTTTATAAATTCTTAGATTTGAATTTTATAAATAAAAAATACATAATTGAAACAACTCTAACTAAAGGTAATTAATGAAAGATTTGTCATTAATAAGAGTTATGGACTTTAAAAGTATTAAATATTATATAGAACAAGATCTAAACCGTGACAGTGGAGCCTTCTATATTTTTACACAGGAATTAATATGAAAAATACAAAAATAAATATTTTCAAGTTATCAGTTACAAATCTAAACCATTAATTATTATAATATTAAATTTAATAATAAAAAGTAATGCCTCATCCATATATCATATTTTTTCTATCTCATGTTAGAATTTTTCTTATATTAAATCATATTGAGTGCCAGTGGTGTGAATGATGTAAAAAACAATTTATCTCTCCTATATAATAACATGTATGGGACCTCTCATCTCATTAAATAAAAATAGATTGGCTCATTTTAATAATGCGGCTTCCACACCAATCATAATGAGCCCCAAGGCCCATGCTAAATAACCCCTCTGGGACCTTCACCGTCTAATTTCGTAAATACTTTCCACCAAGATATTCATCTCAAATGTTATGATACTTATAATGCACACAAATGTCTTCTAAACATTTTTCACAATCTAAGCCACTTGTTGATATCTCTCAAGCACCATCCTCGTCTCTCACAAACTCAATGAATCAAGTCCTATAGCCAAACGCAAACATCACACTAAGAACAAAGGAAAAGTTCTCGCATCATTTATTTCTTTTTTACTGTATTATTTATTTATTCTTTTTATATTTTTTTTTTTTATTTCTCACTTTTTTTTATCTTACTAAACATTCATAATATTACATAATATTATTTTTTACATATTTTTCTTCAATTAAATAATCAAAATTTTATTTTATTTCTTACCTATTTTCACACACTTATTGTTCTCCATTCTATTTTTTCAGTCATTTTGTTCTCCTGATCGTTCTGCAGATCGCAAAATTGTGATACTCACCTTTCTATATAATATACAAATAGGATATCTTTGTAGCCATGATTACTTTAAATTTACTTATTAGCCTGTAAATATAATATTGTAATTAGGAGAGTTAAATAACAACTAAACAACTCTCATAAATTTTCCCAAATAAACCGAAGAAAATAATCTGCTTGAGAACAAAAGATTCCCTGCACTAGAAAGCACCTTAGTAACTAAGTACCATAATGCAGAATGCTAAGTTCAAGCTTCCTCTGCCTATTCACTCTTGCAATGAAATCATCAGCCCTTTTGTTCAATTCATCAGAACAAGGAACCAAACTTTGTTCATCTCCATCCTTTAGATTCTCCTCCTCTTTAGATGCTTCTGAGGCTTTCTTAACCCACCCTTTGCCCTTCAGCTCCACACTGTTCTCTCCATACTCCCATGTCATGTCCACATTCTCCCCAACATGTTTCTCCAGCGTTGGAATCTGAGGTTGTTTGGTCTGAATGTACTCATCAATATCATAGTAAACAACACAAGTTGAAGAGGACTCGGAGGAGAGGATTCTGGAGTTTACTACGAGGAAAAAAATGATGAGGTTGCCTATGATGAATAAGAGCTTTGTGCTCAACAAAAGGGGTATTAAACTTGAGATGTGCACCAACAAAAAGACACGATCAAGAGAAGAAATATAGGGCAAGCAGAGAGTGACACAACAGAACACACTGCAAGTCAAGGCACTTAAGAAATAGAAATACAAATCATGCATGAACTTGTGTCTCTTGTACCTCTTCATGGCTTCAATCTTCTTGAATTGTGTAGGATCCATTATAGGCTCGTGGAATATTGGGAAGAATTTTTATTTTACTGAACTAAGAGCATTAGAAACTCCCGAGTTATATAGATTGAGGGAAGAGATTGTTTAATTAATAAAATTATTCACATGCTAATGCTATACTTTTTCATTATTTGATAAGGAATATTTTATAGACTTTTTCAAAAGCCATATGGGACATGGTGGCGTGGCGTTTATTGCCCCCTTTTTCATTTCAAATTTTAATTATTTACACTCCACAACGGGCTACAAATAATGCTTATTTTCATTTTGTCGATCTAGTTGTATATGGTATGTTTTTAATGATATCCTTGGAGCACCTTGTATAATTAATTTGGGCTAAGCTGCTAATTGAACACGTTCCTTAGTGATAACAAAAATAAATGGATTAATCAAATAATCTTCATTGCTTCTCTGATTGTGATTCCACAACAATGTGAAACTTGGAATTTTTGGGGTGACAAATTGCATTAGTTAATTAACCCTAGCATGTGTAAGATATTTTATCCAACATTCTCGTTAAGAAAAGAATATTATTTTGACTGATCTCAATTGGCAACAGAATCTCCTCTAGAAAGTCTTGGTATCCCTTTCTATTTTTTCCTTTCTGTGGTCTTACTGGGAGGGAGTGGGATAGATTTCTGTTAAAGGAACTCGATCTTTAGCTTTTTCTTTTACATTTCTTCTAGCAGAAGCCTCGTTATTGAGTGGAACGAGAAAAATATTGCCAAGTGAAACAAGGTTTAACTGTTCAAGGCATGGCATGGAAGAAACACATAACTTTTGTGAATATGATGAGCTGATAAGAATTCAATGACAGTACTACATGTAACAAGAGAACACGCACAGCAATATTATGTGCTGCACATATCCACACGAATTTGATAAAAACGAAGATAATGATTGCTTGTGTATTTCCATGAAGATAAACTCTCAGAATGTAGTGCCAATTTTTTTTTATTTTTTTAAACCCAGGTTATTTAAAGGAAAAAAATTAAGACAAGGTTAATTATCTCTTCCTACCACAGCACACCATTCAAATTTCTTCATGAATAGGTGTATATTTATGATGAGTAAAGCACAACAAAAATACGCTCCATAATTTCGTTAAATGGTATAACTGCTGCATGCATACCGTTATGTGTCAATTTTTTTTATGATTCGTTAAGTGTCAATTTTGATAAAGTAATCGTCAATATATTTGTCCCGTTTCCAAAAGAATAATATTTTTTTTAAAATAATAGATATATATTATGAGTAAATTTCATTATGTTCCGTGCTTTTTTTTTTTTTTTTTACACAAAAGGACTAGATGTTTAAGTCAAAAACCACTAAAGAAGGAAACAGCAGAAACATCAACTAGCAAAAATAACTACAACCAGTGAGATGGATTTAAAAAAAAATATGAATCTTTACTGGAATAAAACAACTATACTCTGTTAAAGCAATTTGCAATTTAGTTGGCCTCTCAAAAAATATGATTATATTGTACATCTCGATAACCATAGGAGATGGTGTTAAAATAATGTTTAACTAAAAAATTAAGATTTACATGAATATATTAATATTTAATTATCAGTTTTTATGCAGATCGATCATATTTATTTAAAGAAATGCAAGTAACTATATATAATTTCCTTTTTATATATAAACTTATTGAATAAAACGGCGCCCATTATCTCCTTCGAGCCTGTGCATGCATGGCAAGGGATTACGAAATACAGAATGATTAAATATAATGACGTGTGAATCAATGAATGAAAAGGAGGTAGAGGAAGAAAACAATATATTATGAGCAAGTGTTTGGGTACTTGCTTGATCGCTTAGTCACCTTATTAGCTTTATTAGTCAGTGCAAAGCGCCTAGGCCTCTTGGGATACGCTAGGGCCATTTTTTATGGTGATCTGCAAAAGTTAACAAAAAAGCATTTTGGTTGGCCGGTTCTGGGACCCTTCCCTTCAACAAAGGAAAACCATGACAAGAAAAGAAAATTAATCCATTATTAGGGTGTGCTCGTGTTAAAGTAAAAGATCGCAAGGAGAATATATAAATAAATATATTTTTAACCGAAGTTTTACAAAATAATTTAGAAGAAAGATAAATGTAATTATTCAGTAAATATAAGTTAGAAAATCTTATCAATTTAATTAATGTCTTTAGATTTAAGTTATAATGTGATTTCAAGATTACTTGTGTGATTTATTTACTATTTATATATGAATGCAATGATTTCTAGTGTTTAACTCTCCAATTATGATATCAAAGTTGATAGTTTGAACAAGTGACTAATGAACAATTCAAACGAATATTAACTAATAGAATTGACAGTAGATCCAAGAATTAAGGAGATCTTTATTGCACAATAAAATTGAAGATGGATCTAAGAGTGAAATTTCTTTGTATTAAAACTCTATGGAGTAGAGAGCGTGCCTTGTTGATATGTGTGTTAATGGTCCTATAAGTAAGCTACCATTGAATATTCATGATGAATGAAAAAAGAAATTTTCACTCAATGGGATGGAAAAGACTCACACTTGAGAGAGATTGTCGGAGTTCAAATATGAAGAAAGTTCCACATTGGATAGACTTTGATAAGTAAGAATGACCAATCAACACCAACATGATGGAGTTCACCTCTAGAAGGTTTGAGTTGCGATTAACATGAACCGAGTCATTTTTCTTCAATGAAGGAGGAAGAAAATTCAATGAACAATAATAGAAGATCTTTTTCAATGATCACTAATTATTATGAATGCAAAAGTATGCATCTTTAAATGTTTAGGGTTTAAATTTATCTTTAAATATCACATCACTTGTACGTCAAGAACCCAAATGAATAATAGTAAAACTAAAACATATCTATAACAAAACTTGAAATAAACTAAAAATCAAAATTACATTACCTATAACTAGGATACCTGAGTAATTTTTCCCCAAATTTTTTAGTAATGTATATAGTCTAGCTCATTTCCTCTGCATACACAATTAAAGAAGGCCTCCTAGCTATTGTTAGAGTGTGAAAAATCACATATTTCGATGAATCTTATTTACACTACAACAAAAATTATTTTTAACAACAATTGTTTAATAGCAATAATTTAATTGCCGCTATTTAATTATATAATAAAAATATTAATGGCTAATATATAATAGCCACTAAAAGTGTATTTATATTACATTAAAGTTTACTATTAGCGACAATTATTTATTGAAAAAAACTAATCCCACATCGATTAGAGATAAGATAATTAAATAGTATATAAGTGAGTAATAACTATCACCTTGTAAGTTGATTTATAGGGTTGAGTTAGACTCTTAATTCACTATAATAAATTAATATCAAATCACCCACTATTACCAAGTTCAATAGTGTTATAAAACAATTAGAGAGCAACTTTCACCTTATAAATCTCACATCTCTTAAGAGATAAGACATTTAAAAAAAAATATATATATAGAAGACAACCCTCATCTTACAAATCTCACATCGACTAGAGATAAAAAAAAAGTATATAAGTTATGAATTTAGAAAAGAAAATTATAGGAATAAATTATTTAAAGTTTTACTAGCAAAAGATAAAAGTCACTAAATGGATGGAAAGGAGACAATTGAAAAAATAACTTTTAATAGCCTTTAAAATGGCTACTAAAATTGTCACTAAAAAAAATAAGTTTTCCCGACAATTTAGTAGGTCTTTACCAGCATTTTATATAAATGTCGGTAATACTATTACCGACACTGGATACACCAGTCATTATCTAAATGCTGGTAAAAAAAATAATGACCATTTATATGGTCGCTAAAGAATAAATTAATTGCCACAAAAACCTAATTTTAGTGTAGTGTTATTAATTAAGATTCAGACTCGGAAAATAAAAAATTAAACGAGACTAAAAAAAATTGTGATTTCTAGACTCAAGAAATGTGACGAATTAAAAACAATAACAAAACAAAAAATAAAAACTTTTGCTAGACAGATTATGATTTGGTATATTTTTGGTGTAATGTGAAAAATCCAATCTCATTTTCTTCTAATAGAAACTATGGGTTGTTAATATTGTTTTTAGTATTTTATATTTTTATATATTTAAAATTTCCTTAATTTAATTTTTAGATATATTTTTTCTAAAATTTAAATATTATGAATTTAATATTTTTATCACCGAATAACATATAATACTTTTTTAACACCAAATAATAACTGAAATAAAAAATCAAGTTAAAAAAAATTATTTGTAATTTATGTTTGCATATATATTACGTGTTTTTTTAATATATTTTCTTAATTTATCACCTAATTCTATTTATAGAATAATGACTAAATAAAAAAATATTTTGTCCTTTAGTGCCTTTTCTTTTTACACGAAGAACATTAATTTCATACTGTGTATACATTTTAATGTTGTGACTGGGATTAATTTATATAAACACATTATTAATTGGTTCAAAATCAATCTATGAAAATCAATGTTGCTCTATTTTAAAACAAACACTCATGGGTATTAACACATTTTTTAATAGAAACTTCTGATTATAGTGACCTTAAAATGGTATAACATCCTTTTATTTTATTTTTAAAAAAAAGTAAAAAAGGATTAAAACATCAAAAAGATAAGAGATGCAACAAAGAGAAACCATATAAAGGAGGAGAAAAGGAAGAACCCAGAAGTTAACAACTATACATGTTCCCTCTGCCAGCATCTGCTCGGGCCCACAGTCCAGTCTCAAAGAAGTGATATTTTGAACCTCAACAGTAAGGTTTGGATATCAATGTTAACCTTTTAGGGTTGGATCCATAAATAATTTCAGCTTATAGCTTGTTTGAGTTGACGTTCGAACGTGAAAAAACACGTTTCATTAAAAGGAAAAAATTATGGACGTGGAGAGAGAGTGTAAACTTACATTTATAAATTCAAACCAAACACACACTTAGTAAAATGGAAATCAAGTTTAGCATTTTAGCTCACTTTTTTATTTATTTTTTTTATTGATAATAACTATTTTATCATCGATATATTTTTTTTCTTGTTGTAGAAAATGGTCTCTGAATACTTTTCTATATTATTATATAAAACTTTTTATAAGGTTTGAATAAATTTTTGCGTGTGTTTGGATACAGGTTCTGGTAGGGCAACGCACGTTTTTTCCTTCTAAAACGTGATTTTTTATTTTTATGCATGTTTGGAAATTTTCATTTTCACATGATCTTATATATAAAAATTAATTTTTGTCAACGTTGGTGGAGATTACTTATGTGTCTTGAAGAAATTGATTTTGGCCAACGCTAATAAAGATGAAAGTCAATTCTCCAAACGCAAATCCAAATATGCACTTTATCCTATAATTTCATCAATTTTGCTTCTTAATTTTAGTAGTTAAAATGTAACATTGTGCAAATATGTATTTTTCTAATATAATAATAGGGTTTTTTTTTCATAAATAAAATAAGCTCAAATAATTAATTAAACGGACTTAATTAACGGGAGAGCTTTTAAATATATGTATATCTACTTATATGTTTATACGTTGTAGTGTCCTAAGGCAGTTACCGAGACATTTGTCTCCCTAATTTATTCTAAAATTTTAAGAGCAAGCAGAAGAGGAAGAAAGAGAGAACAAGCTAATAGTCTTTTTCATGCATTTGATAATTCATTTTATTTTTTATTTTAGGCGATTGTCCTAAAGATTTAGATGGTACACACTCTTCAAGCCTCAAACACTGATGCACATAGAGGTTTCTATAACTTGGCCATCTTAATTGATGTTTTTTTTAATCGATTTTATCCAATTGTCCTAAGGCATGGAGGGTACGGAGATTATTAAAAAAAATGATCGAAATATGTAAAAAGAAAAGAGAGAAGAAAAAGATGGTGAAAAAAAGTATAATTGAAAAAAGAAAAAAAAGAGAGAGAGAGAGAGACTAAAATAAGAGGATAAAATGATCCAAGAGTAAATGATTTTTCTGAATCCTATGTTGTGTAATTACGTTTATGAAATATGTTAAATTTAAATTGACGTAGATGAATCCTCATGTTTTAATTTTACATCTCTCTTGCAAAGACTGATACGATTTTTTTTTTTATCAATATAAGAAGTTGAAATGAAATAATGAAGTGATTTGTATTTTGTAATAATAGTTAAGAGGTAATAAAAAATTTCTTAATTTTTTTTGGAGATATCCCTCTATATTCATTTATAATGAGAAAAATCTTACATAATGTAAGAAGTTAAACATTCAAAGAATTAAAGCATAATTCAATCATAAAACTTTTCCAAATAATTTAATAAGCTATTATTTTTATTTTATTTATAGTTAGATTTTTATATGTTTAAATCCTAAAATTATATTATTTTATTAAAGTTGAGATACCAAAAGGAATACTGTAATGTAAAGAGATTAAGGCGTGAAAACGGCCGTCATAATATCAGGTTAGAATCTCATTTTATGCATAAAAGTCGTGAGACATTCCTTGTGAACCGTGCATGGCAATCTAATAGTCCACTTTATGATTCAAATGTCCCTTTATTACGAAGCAACTTAATGTGAACGAAAGAAATTGCATTACATACGTAATGATTAGATTTAAACAAGAAAGTGAGGTTTGAAATTGTGACAAAAGCCACACATAATGCATTAAAGATTAGTAAAATAAAAAAAGTGAAATCAAAGATGATGAACGCAGCAGTCTTCAGTCAAAAGTGCAGCATTAATTCACGTCACCACTGTCTTTGAATTCAATTTGTCTCATGCATCATGATCCCCCTGTTCCCACAAATATGTATGTAGCATCAGAAATCAAAAAGCTTAAGAAATTAATTTCTCAAAATGAATGAACTCACTTTCTTGGATGCGATGAAGTCAAAAAACTTATGCTTGGTCTTGCCACCGTTGGGAGACTTATCGTGGTGGGGCACCCTCTCCGTTACGTAGGCCCGAATGTACTGTCTCACGAACCTTTCATACAAGAAAGTTGCTCCTTTGAACTGCGGCAACACCAGCCACGCCACCACCAATAGCTTCACATCGTACCAAATTGGAATCCTGAAAATTCAATCCATTTTTTTTTAATCATCCATATAAATCAAACATTTATAATGAATCACTGGTTAAATTAAAATTAATTAATGTGAAACTCACCACTCCAAGAGAGACTGGAGAACCATTTCCATGAGGGTGAGAAACGAATAAATGATCCAATAAGCAAGCCACTGCTCGTCATCCAATTTAGATGTGCTCTCTATAGCCACCACTGATGCATACCTATAAAGTAACGACAAATTAATCAATCTTCGTATATAAATTATATGCTCATAGAATGTGTCATGTATATCCGATACTCACAAAGGATACAATAACGTCACCACCGGCCTGCAAAAGATGGAATGTATAAATTAAGAGATAATTCATTAACGAAATGAAGAAAACATGAGGGAGAGAAGAAGAGATAATTGCATGCATTATTCATAACAGATTATTACATACCCAGCAAGGGAATGAAGTTGGGTAATCAAGGTCCACAACTTGCTCATTTCTATGTGATGTATATACCAAGTCTACCAAAAGAAAACTTAGGAGAGGAAGATCGTTAGAGAAAGTAAAGTGGGAATGAAAACGTTGGAGAGTTACGAAAAGTGTACAATGTTGGTACATTAATGAAGTAGTGAACGGTTTCTTCTTATAGTGGTTCTGGATTCTGTGATTTAAATTGTAATAGATGCGATGAGAGGCACGTGAGAGAGGCATCAGATTCTAAAAGAAACGAGTCACGTTGAATCAGCGCCGTCCACTTTAGTGATAATAATCTGAGTTAATTTTGAGATTAATAAGGAAGGTTCTTTGCCCATAGCACAAGCCACGTGTTCACGCTTCTCAATGTCTGGGTTGGTCGGTGAACACTGAACACGTACAACCCACGGAGCTACTTGACCACAAGCCATGCCACCACCCATAGCTTCACATCGTACCAACATCGTCTATTATGTTATTTAGTGGACATCCTAATACTAATCAAACCCAGAATGAGAAAGAAACAGTAGAGACAAGTGTAAATTTAATAACTCATATAATATGGAAAAAACAGACAGAGATGTTAATTAAGGAGTGTTTACATTATTAGAATCTTGCAAAAATATTACTCAATTAATCAAACCCACCGCTGCAAGATAGGGTGAGGAACCGTTTCCGTGATGCTGAGAAACGAATAAATTATCCAATAAGCAACCCTCTGCTCGTATTCCAATTTATATGTGCTATAATATTATAAAAGAGAAATCAAGCAAAGTTCATAAAGTATATATACGCTGCTATAGCTTGTACCTTTTGTCTGTAGTATATATGTCCAATATACTCACGAAGGATAAAATAACGTTACCACGGGCCTGCAAAAAATAATGTACCTGAGGATATTGATGAATAAAATGAAGAAAATTATATAAGGGAAACGGAGAAGAGGTTGCATGCATTATGCATAACAAATCATTACATACTAAGCAAGGGAACGAAGTAGCAAGATCAACAGAAGGAATTATATCGGTTCTTGATTCTGATTTAATTTGTAATACAACATTCGCGCGAGAAAGAGAAAGAGAGAAGAGAGGCATGAGATTCTTAAGGAAACGAGTCACGCTTGACTAGTGATCATCTCATTTAATTTTCAGATTTTGTTTAATAAGGATGAATATATGGTACATGGATGTGTTGCAATTGCATAGCTTATACCGTTTTGAACATGCTGTTGGTGTGTATCATCGATCATCATCACCATGCAATAGAATTACTCTTCTATACAATACAGCATTCTCCAAAAACAAAGGCTTCGAATAAGCCCAATAAATATGGTCCAGTAACCCATATTTATTTTTAAAACAGTCATGATTGATCTTTTCGAGGGAATCACTTGGTATTGATTTCACTAAAAACAAAAAATAATGATATTGTCATCATCCAAGTGATTTTACAATCTTGTAAGGACAATTGGTTCAATTTTTCATAATTACTACAGTATGTCATAATAAGGCTCATAAAAAAAGCTGCTTCAGCAACCTGGGTTCATGGGTTTTACCTTCTTGTCCATCTTCCCATATAGAAGGCCAATAAGAGATTGAACTGGGCTTTAGAATTACACTGCCCTGGATCAATATGGTTTAATGAAGATAAACCAATGGATAATTGACTATCATGAGGGGTATACTTATTGGATAACTTTTCAAAGCATAATAAATAAATAAAAAACTTTTTAAAATAATTTAAATATTTAATACTTTTATTATATATATGTACGCATGGACACAATGGAAATTTTATTTTATAAAAATATTTGGTTAAATGATTTTTGTATTTTTTATTTATTTAATTGATTCAATTTGATTCTTTAATTTTTTAAAATAATGTAATTTGGTCATTTTTTTTTATTGAAACTAACAGCACTAACTTCTTATACATGCGACGATTTGTGTTATTTTTAAAAAATTAATAATTAAATTAAATATTTTAAGAATAAAGAGACTGAATTGAATTAAATAAAAATATCAAAAAATTAATTTAACCAAAATATTTATAAAATAAATAAATAAATAAAAATGAGCAACGATGATATACTATATATGTAGTTATCAGTGAACAGCTACAACTCTCCAACTCCTGCGTAGAACAGGCCCAAATCAAGGCCCACGTTACATTAAACTAGTGTAATTTATACTATCCATGAGCCCAAGAGCAAAAAAGGTTTTTCTTTGCTTTAAACTTCAAAGTCAATGATATTTTGGCACTCAATTTTTTTAAAAATTCTAATTAATTAATACACATTATTATTTCTCTTTTATTATCACGTTGCATTACCTATCATACCTATATTTTTCTAAATTTATCTTTCTCAGTAACTGTTAAAATAGATTTTGGGTGTCAAAAATAATTTTTTAAACATTTACAGGGGCAGTGTAATGGTCTAAAAAGCGAGGTAATTTTGAAAATCAAATCACGCCTTTTTTTTATATTGCTATTTTTTTCTTCTTTTTTTTGGCTTAGGAAGTCTTTTTTGCTCTAGAATTGTAATTTGTTCCATATTTAATTTAATAAAATTAAATTAAGAGAAATCTTATGAAGTCTTTTTTGTTCAAAATTTGAGATCTTAAATGAAAATCCAATAGGAGATAGATCACTATTCTTTTTAAATGAGAAATATTTATTTATCAAGGAAAGACACAAGAAGAAGAAAAAATTAAAAAAGAATGCGTGAAATAAAATGAATAATGTAATAGACAGAGATAAAGACAAAAGAAAAATGATGGACGTAATCATTTTTTGAGTGTAAGAAGTGAAAATTAACAGAGAGAGAAAAAAATGTGAATGTAATAAATAATTAAATGTAACAAATATTAAAAGAGAGATATATAGAAAGAATAATATTGAAGATGAAAAAAAACTTTGGATTAAAGAGTGTTGTAACTAAAATTTATGAATATGAATACCATTATTCTTTTTGAATGAATAAGGTGTAGTTTTAGTAGAAAAGTAGACATAAAACAGTGGGACAAACTAAAAAAAAAAATAGTTGGACGAAGGATTTTAGGATTATTATCATTATATATAAACTTTATTCTTTCATATACTTTCCATTTTATTTTTCTTTTATTAATTTTTCATCACATCATATTTTTAATAAGTCAAATAAATTTGTTAATTCATCAAGTAATAGCACAAGAAATGCTCACTTAAAGTTAAAAGACCAAGTAATGTACAAAAAGAAAAAGAAAAAACCACTCTATCAGGATTGTGACACCTATTACTTTCGTTCGGTTTTAATTTTTGTATTCCGTTAATCTTAAAATGTGCTACACATTTTTGAAGATTTTATTATGTAGTCTTAAAACCCTCACCCAATCCAGGGCTCTTGTTTCAAAGCGAGAAATTACTACTATCAAATAGTAAGAAATTATCATGTGACTATGATTTTGACTAATTTTTGCATAAGATGTAGTAGTTGAATTTTCCAATTATGATAAAAATAAATAAATAAAAATTCATAACCTGTGTTTGTGTTTTCTCCTGATGCTTTTTCAAACGCACAGAATTTGCACGTTGAATTCTTATAGTTTATAATTAAAATTTTAATAAATATATAAAATAAAAAAAAATATATGAATCATTAGATTGTGACTGCAGAATTGCTTTTCAATCGTAGGGAATCCAAATGTATGTAGCAATGTAGTAACTCTGGTGGACAGGTAGGTAGGTAGTATCTCTTATCACCCGAATCTTCAGACTCCATTGTTCCATCCATTCTTCCACTATCCATCAATCTCACTGCATTTCATGCGAGATTCGTAACTTTAAGCCTACTATGGTACACCCTACTCAACAAACCAAAAATTAACACGACTTTTGCAGTCTATACAATGCATATGTGTCAATTTTTACTTGCTTGATGTATTGTCGAAATGTTACACCATGATATATATCTTATTCACCAATCACCAAAGCATTATCTAGGAAGAATGAAAACAAAGAAACCACCAAAGACAAAGAGACATAAAGGACGCAAAGAAAAGGTGTTTACCCTTAATGAAAACTCACAAGGATGGGGTCATGGGGACATATATAATAGATCAGAAGCATTAAAAGAGATTCCATATATGTCATGGTTGCTTTAATTTTATATTATTGCTACCCTATGCTGTGCCACTTTAAATCACCAATCACAAGCACATAAGAAAAGAAAAAGAAGTAGAATGAACTTCCACCAGCAATTGGAAACCATTTTGAACCCATCATCTTGTCAAGAAGTGTAATCAATATTATGGACACCGAGAAGCAAGTAATATTGATAAATAATTCTCTAATTAATTCATAATAATCAAATATCATGACTGATCTGAAGGCTGTCAAACTGAGCATTCTCATCCAACCAAACTATGATAAGACATGTGACACTGAATAATTGATAATTGTATATATCTATCTCTTCATAATGGGATATAATTAAAATGCCCCACACACGGACACATGCACTTTATCTCTCATTTCACATTTATGATCAAAAGAACAAGACTTTTAGTTGACTTCAAAAGAAAGATGATGATTTTCAGCCAAAAAAAATTGAATTTATATAGATTTTGATAATGTTTATGCACAAGCACAAATAATTGAAGATCGATGGCCATTGATCTTGAAATTAGAAAAAAAAAATGTGGAAGTGGATTACTGTAATGGGGAGGTGAATTATTTCAACAATGACGGAAATGGAATAAAGAAGCTAAAATTGGAATTCTTTCGCTGCTTTTGGTACGTACGATTTGACTCTTATCTTTGTTGGTTAGTTTTGGACCCACCTCTACTCTATACTCTATACTCTATACTCTACAGTGATGATTATATGAGGTCTTGGAAAAGGTTATGACAGACAAATTGCACACTGCACAGAGTTACTAATGCTGACTGCAGCAATATGTCCTTGTCGTATAATTCCTTCTTAGTTTTTACAAACAAATAACTGTTACCACTTGCTTTCTACCCAGATCCTTTCTTCTTCAAATATATTCTTCCCGCGTATAAATCATCCAAATTCTCATTTTTATTTCCTACTTTTTCTATTATTCTAATTTTGAAATGTGTTATATTTATCTAATACCTTCACTTCGATAACTTATAAATGAAGTGGTTTAGCCCTCCTTAATACCAAAAATAAAAAAATGAATTGCATGCAAGACACCAAGAGCTACGGAAGTATCTG